TGACCTCATTGCTAGTTTTATATCAACATATGAACATATATCAATAAATATGTAGCAAGATACACAGGCATACATAAATTGGAGGCTCATAAGAGATCATAAGCGACTGAGATCTATCTCATACGCATATATGAAGATATTATTTCGAACCAAAGCTACTTGGTTGATTTCTTTTACTGTATTTTTATTTTTATTCAAATATGGTCGATTTTGTTACTTATTAGCAATTCTAAGAATATTTAGTTAGTATTCACACCCCATTTTTAAAAAGTGCAAATAATCACAAAATCTTTAAAAAAAAAATGAATCCTTTCCAGAAAAATTTACTCAGCATCTTTTACAGCAGCTCAAGTTTTTCATACTCTGTCTCTCTCCACCTGCCTCTCTCTGGCTCTATCTGCGTTTCTCTAAATATTCGGTGTTTCCAAGAAAGAGATTTGACTTGTCAGATGGTGCAAGGTCCATGCTTTACGATGTACACGTATATATCAAAACTTGCCAAACCAAGCTCCACCAATTTTTGCCTGCTCATCAAAAATATATGTGGACTGGCTTTGTCATGATGACCCTGTCTAGTGGCAAAACCGCGAAGACTTTTATAATTTCCCATATATATATATATATATTTTACTCATGTTGGAGAGAAATGTTTATTCCTAAAATAAATATAAAGTTTTAACTCTTCGTAAAAATTCTCTGAAGTTTGTTTGTTTCGCGGATCAAATTAAGTGGCAATTAGCCAAGGCTCAGTTACGTCATTGCAGATAAATGCAAACAAATTCACGAACAGAAGAAAATAAAATAATATGTTTATTAAATTTATTTCAGTGTTATTCTCAACGTAAATCTAATCTCCGTAACGCTTTTTTTTTGTGCTTATTTTATCTCTATTTTTTTCTGTTTTAATTACTTCAAACTATCGTTGAATTTTTGCTGTTTCCCTTTTTAAGTACTTTTAAGCTGCTCTGCGTCCGTTAATCTTTTCTGCGCATTCGGCTACCTTTTAAAATTCGCGCAACAAATGCTTAGCTGTAAATTTGTTAGAAAAGTTTTGAGCTTAACATTCCATTTATGTTGATGGACAGACCGCTGCGCAGCCTCTTCTCTAGCCTTTTAGGCATAAACTCGTATTTCGCAAAAATGTTATTTTAATTCTGAGGAACTACATGTCACGCTGAAGCTAAAGAGCTTTAACCGTTTCATCGATTGGCATCTAAATGTGTATTTCATGTTAATGGTTAGCCGTTTTTGTGGTTATGAGCATCTTTTGGTTATAAATACCCTTCAAATGTACATACTAATGTACAAAATATTTGTGTGTAAATGAGTTTTCTACAGAATGATGAAAAAGTATTATGGAAAATACAAAGAAACGGTTTGAATAAAGCCATGGGATAAAAGAAACGTAATAAAATTTAAAAAAATAATAAAAATAATAATAAAATAGAATAAAACATATATAAAACAAAATAAAATAAAAATATAAAAAAGCAAAAATATAATTTAAACTAAAATAAAAGAAAATAAACTAAAATAAAATAAAATAAATTAATTACGATTAAAACAAAATGAAATACATTAAAATAAAATGAAACTAAATAAAATAAAATACTATAAAATAAAAATAAATGAACTGAAATAAAATTAAATAAAATATATTAATTTAAATTAAAATAAAATAATAAAATAAATAAAAAATGGAATAAAAGTAAAGAAAAATATGAAATTAAATGAAGTGAAATAAATTGAATTAAACTAATGAAATAAAATAAAACATAATAAACTAAATTAAATAAAGTTTAGTAAAGCAAAACCAAATAATTGAATGAAATGATTTAATTAAATAAAATGATCTAAATTAAGTAATTAAATTAAATAAAGTAAAATACTATAAAACAAAATAAAATTAAATTGGATAAGCTAAAAAAGAAAATTATATAAAATAAAATAACAAAATGAAATTGAATAAAATAAAATTAAATAATCTATAATAAGTTAAAATAAAATAATATAATAAAATAAAAAAATGCAATAAAAGTAAATAAAAAAATAATTACTAAATTAAAGTAAAATAAAATGGAATAAAATAATTAAACAAAATGAAGCATAACAAATTAAATTAAATGAAGTTATATATATATTATATATATAATTGGCGCTTTGTAACCGCTGAAGCGATTTACCGCCGTTAAATAAAGCAAAATTAAATAAAAAAAATTTAATTAAATTAAACAAAGTAAAGGAAAGTAAAATGAAACAAAACAAAATAAAATAAAACAAAATATGAAATAAAATAAAAAATGAAATAAATAAATAATTATGTTAAATCACATAAAATAACTTCAAATTAAATTAAATTAAATAATTACAAATAATTTATATTAAAAAACAAATGTCAACTAAAATAAAACAAAGCAAGAAGAAATTAAATTGAATAAAAATAAATAAAGTACTATAAAACAATATACATACAATAAAATAACGTGAAATAAAGTATAACAAAAAGAAAAAAATTAAAATCAAATTAAATAAAATAATCTAAAATAAGAAAAGAATAGAAAAAAACTTATTTCAGCACATTTTCCATTTGAGTACAATGTGTGTTGTGTATTGAAGTTCATATTACATATATATGTTTATGCATGTCAATGAAAAATGTTTCTATGGTAATTTTATAACTCCTGGGTTGCATAATTAAGAGTGGATGTACACACGATGGCATGCATTGCTAATGCATAAGGCCAACACAAATTATTGGCAGACTCTTTGACTATATCAAAGTATCATTCGGTTATAACTATTGTTATACGTGTATATAGTATATATTTTTTTGGTACACCAAGCAACTTAAAGTGGCCTTCTCGTTCAATCACATTTTTCTTCAGCAATTATGCAGAGTTGTTGAATTGTTATTTTGAAGCTCATAATATGCAATCATTTATTTTATTTATATTATATATCTAATTCTTTTATAATTATTTTCGAAATTTCCGATTTCAATATAATACACGGTGTGTCCCAAAAATAACCGAACTTTTTGGATATAAAATAAAATACACATTATATTATCTTTGAAAGTTATTATTTATTTAAAATAGGTTCCATTTGACTCAACACAACGTTTGGAATGATCAACCAGCGCATGCATAGATTTTTTATGTCATTTATCGAAGTGTTCTTCAGTACCTCGGTTACGGCTGCTTGAATGGCTGGGATATCATCATAAAATGCTCGCTTCATCTTTGTTTTCAGTCTTGGAAATAAAAAATAGTCACATGTGATAGATCAGGCGAATACGGAGGATGATCGCTGAGAGAAATCTCTTTTTTCATTAAAAATTCGAGCGATTTTTTAGTCGTCATTTAATTCATGTGGAACAAATCGCGCACAGACCTCTCTTTTCTTCAAATCTTCAGTTAAAATTCTCCAAATAGTGTTTTTACTCATATTCGATTCCTCAGCCAACATTCTCGTAGTAAAATTTGCATTGATACCATTGATTTCACGGACTTTTTTCACCAGTTCAGCACGATTACTAGTTTCTGGACGTCCAGCTCTAGGGTCGTCATTTAAATCCTCACGACCATTTTTTAATCGTGTAAACCACGTATAAACTCGCGTGCGACTCATACAATCATCACAATAAACTTTTTTCATTCATTTTTTTTTTTCAAGTTTGACACAAAATTTTATATTTGCTCTTTGTTCCATTTTATTTTTGAACCATTAGAACACTTTTGGTTTTATTGAAACGGATGTCACTTTGACATCTGTCATATGACTTACATGACAGGACACACCGTGTATGATCATCTACACAATATCAAATTCGCATTGTATTTTATAGATGTGAGAAGAAAATTTTAATGAAAAGAGTAAAATTTATTTTTAATACAATTTAAATATTTTGATTTAAAAACAGTATACGTTTGCATTTAAGCTTAAGACTATGCAATATGTGAATTTAACAAATTAAGCATATCGATTGCGGCTATCCGGTCATTTGATGTTTATATACTAACATATATGTATATAATATATACGTATTTTAGAATGTGGTCACGTCCAAAGTAATTTTGTGATTATGACTGAAGCTTTATGATAACTTATAAGTATGATTCGCCAAGTATGATTCGCCAAGTGCTTACTTGAGAAGATTCTTTTAACACTTTTGCGGAATTAGTAATCATGATTATTTTTTGTTTTCTAAAGAACTAAAAATAGAATAAAAGTAGTCATAATTTGTCTTGTATTTGTTTGAATAAAAGCTTGATTTTTACTATTTTCCCTATCTAACTTTTTATCAATATTTTATTTGAAAATTAAAACGAAAAAATGACAAATAAATACATACATACATATATCAGCACGTTAAGATACACATTATTTTATATTTATGCACATATACATACACATGTATTTGCGTGCTTATGTCGTGCCCACTCAGCGGATGTGTTAAAAGCACGTTCCAAACATGCGGTCAAATTTACGTATTTTACATACATACAACCATACATATAAGTATGAATAGTTTGTACACATATGTATATATGTATATGTACATATATATTTTTATGGTTGATTATTTTGATGCGAAGATAAAACTGTTTTTTCTCGTTTGCATGAAATTAAATGCTAAATAAAATTAATTATTAGCGCTTTGAAACTCTTTTTAATTATTGCTTATTTTCATCATAAAATTTTCTGTTACAGGAAATAATTATATATTACAATAAACTTTTTTATTACACAATTTAATTACTATTTGATAATATTGCCTTTATTTGATCCATCTCATTCCGAATCCATATAAAAATTTTACTTAGAGTTACTAGATTTATTGGTATCGGTGAGCCATTTTTCAAAACAGTGAACAGCAACAGCCGACTTTACGCAGTACAACATCCTTCGAAATTTCGATTTTTTAATACCTACCAAACATTTTTCACTTTTAATATAATTTTCCCCATTAAAAATCAGTCGTATTTTTTCACTTTTAGATTCATCACTCAGTTCCACAACAACACCGGCAACGGAGGCACCGCTACCCGCTGCAGAAACGACGCTTTCAGGACAGCATGACGACGCCGCTGCACCGAGCACGGCTATCACAAACAATAGCGCACCGGCGCCGCCATACGCGTTACCAGTAACTACAATAGAACCCATCGCCACTACTGAACCGACAACAACGCCCACAGGCGAGCGACAGGCGAAAGAACACAAAGAGCACGTTGTCGATAGCGAAACGCTTCAAACCATAACAACAACAACAAGTCCAACCAGCGGGACACCTCTTGAGAGTGAGCCAATAATAGTGCCACATGTATTGGCCGAGCATGCCCAACATATTATCGAAGAAGAAAAAGCCGAACACAATCACAATCATACGCATCTGACAAAAGACGAAGCGGAGCATATACAACATATACACGGTCATCACGGACACGAACATATCCATGGGCATGAGCATGAGCACGACCACGCACATGAGCCTGGGCACGAGTATGCGCACGTGCATATTGAAGAAGACGAGCATGAGCGTGGTCATGATCACGAACACGATCATCATCACATCGACGAAGAGCATTCCACAGACCATGTGATCTCCTCGACCTCAAACGATATTTTTGCTGAGGGCAAAGAACCGAGTAAGCCGCTGGAAAGCCACGATGTCGAAAGCGTGAAAAGTGTAGAGGGTGAAAATGACACACATAGCGCTGAGAAAATCGCCACTCCAGCTGAAGTGCTCATCAACCAGATATCACATGAATTCGAAGAGGACAAAGATCTGAATAATTTTCGACATCCGGCAACACTGATTACCGCCAGTAATAGTGATGAGTCGATGATGGCCGCCATGATGGCTGCAGCAATGCAGAAGGAAAATGAAAGTGATACGACCGCAACGGAGGCGCAACACGAAGAGGATCCATATCACGCGCACATACTTTCCGAACAGCACGACCGTTTAGCGGAGCAAGAAGATTTCAAACTAATTGCTGAGGATATGAATAGTACTTCGGAAGCGCCCAATGCATATTTGATAGCGACATCAGCAAAGACAACTGATGTGGCAAATGAGAAACCCCTCAGTAGTGAAGAGAGTAGATCAGTAGTGGCGCCAGTCAGCGCTCTGAATGAATCGAACACTGCAAATGAGGAGCGTGGACGTGCTATGAATATTGTGCATGAGCAGAATGGTGAGGTAATGCCAAATGCAACTACAAAATCCAGTTCCATTGAAGAAGAACCAGTTGTAGTGCCGATCGCCATTGAAGGACAATCGCCCGAACAGCAACACGAACACATACACACCGACGACCACGAACATATGCATGAACACATGGTTGTACAAACCACCACACCAACAACACCAACAACAACATTGAAAACAGAATCAATGGAAAGCAACAACAATGATGAATCACATAATCATCATCATGAGGAGCAATCATCAACACCATTCCCACAACATTTCTTCTATCACGGCGAGGGTCGCTCTGTGGGCGATAGCATTTCGGCGGAGAATGATGATGTACCATTGAACTATCATTACCACAACTTTGTGACCACAGAGCGCGATGGCAGTAACAACAATAATAAGAGTTTACCACAAAAGAGTGGCGCATTGATAGATTTGAGTGATATTAGTATGGATGACGATGATCAAATGGTTATGACGCACAAAACCCACGAACAACATCAACATGGCCAACATTTGGAGCACAATCCAAACAATCAAAGCAACAGCGAAGACCAGCCACAACAACAAAATGAAGAAATGCTCAAGATTACCGAGGTTACATCAGCAGCTGTGGGCGCGGTCGCAATGCACCAAGATTGCACTGGCAGCGATGACAAAATGTACAAGGTGAGTGCGAGTAATCAATTCACGATGCCGCTCTGTGGCGGCATTATTATTAATATAAGTTCTTTTTATAATTAGTCTTTTGCATGAACAGTTTGAAAGCCACTTTTTCTTATCTTAAGGTTTACACATTGGCGCAATATTAAAAATAAAATAATATAAAATTAAGTAAAAATTCAAAGTAAACAAAATAAATTGAAAAATAATTGAGATGAAATAAAATAAAATAAATAAGTAAAAGAATATTATACAAAAATTAAAGAAAGTAAATAAATTAAATTATATTAAAATGAAGAGAATTTTTAATTGAAAAATAAATGAAATTTAAATAATTAAATTAAATTCAATTAAAAAAAAAATGAAATCAAATATAAAAACTTAAAAGAACAAATGAATTAATTTAGTAATACAAATTAAATCGAAATAAAATATAATAAAGAAAATCAATTAAAATTATACGAAAAAACATTTTTTTCCTTATCTTCTTCGCTTTAAAAATGAAAAAATTCAAATATTTTGAATACCCAGTACTGCTCACCAAATTACTCAATGAGTGGCGATTTTAATCGTCTCTTTAGTTATTATTTTTCACTGCCACCATATCGATTAACCCCATCGCTAATCAATATGCGTATAGGTAGTTTATTCGATAAAAGAAATCCCGAACCAAACTCAGCATTTTACAATCGAGTCACGACTCTTTAAACCAGATTGCAGTGGCGCTTTAGTTAACCACATTTTTCACTTTCTTTGCGTTAAGTAAAAAATAAAAATATGTAAATAAATATATTTAAAATTCAGGTCTTTTATGTATGTTTATGCATATTGTAATTTGGGCACTTTTTGAATTGCGTAATATTTTATTATAAACGAATGTAGGTTGCAGGAGTTATGTTTTTTTAAATTTTTAGATAAAAATTTTATTTTAATAAGAAAATAGATAAATATAAATATAAATATAAATATAAATATAAATATAAATATAAATATAAATATAAATATAAATATAAATATAAATATAAATATAAATATAAATATAATTATATATTATATAAAAATGTCTAAGCTGCGAGTGCTTGTTTAAGATCAAGAGCTTTCGTTAAATATTCATAAACATAGAAGAAGCATGGACAAACTCCTATTTGCCGAGCTTTTATTTAATGATTGACCATATTTATTAGATATATTATAATATTATGTTGCTCACATATGTACATTAGATATAGCAAGTCTCACCCAGGTAAATAATAAAATTAATTAACAAAACCGCAGGGAAAATTAGTCAACTAAGGTCAGCACTTTCGCAAATAACCCGCCTATCGACAAACACTTACACAACTATTTGGCTAGGCTACAAGCTCTTCGCAACTGCCAACACCAAAACTAGCGTCGTTTAATTGCAAAAACAACAAAACTAGAAAAAAACAAAACGCACAACAACACCAGCTACATAGTTATTGACTCGCCTGCAAGTGGCAATAATGGTATTTTGCGTGGCATGTGGCATGTGGCATACGAGCATGTTATGCGGTGTGTATTTATTATGCATGCGACAGAGGACGGGCGGACAATGGAATGTGGCATGTGTGCATGTCCAGCGCAATAACAACAACTATTGTATTTGCACGAAATGCACCACGAAACGACTGAACGCTTCACTGCCGTTAAAAGTGTGCAAACAACACGACAATAAATGAAAATATTTGCAGACCATTTTGAAAAGTGAAAGTAAAATTCGTTTCTTTTTTCACGTTTCTTATTTATTCATTTGTTGCGTTGCCTTGTTTTTCGTTTTCATTTACCGCCCAGACGTCCGATGTGCATTAAAAGCATCAATGAAAGCACTAAATTAAACGCAAACTTGAAGACGGATAGACGAGTGAAAAAATAAAGCAAATGCATAAATATGTATATGGTGCATACGTAACGCCAATCCGCTTACACTTAAGGCAGACTGGTCAGGTAAAAAGCACAAGAAAGTAAAAACAAAAAACATTTGACGGCGGCAATGCTTTAATGAGTACCGGCCGGCAACAATAAATTTCGTACAGCGGTATATTTGTTTGTGCTCGTATGCAAATATGCTTATAATTACAAAGAGCCTCGCATTGGCTGCCATTTATGACGGGTTGACGCTTGATGCCATTTGCTGGCAGCTCAATTAGTGTAAAGTTTATACCGTAAACTAAAAGAGTAAATATCACAATTAAGTATGTACTTAGAGCCCTTAAATATGTGCGATCGTGGCTTGGTATTCCCCAAGCGAGCAACAAAATTTTGGTTACATAAAATTTTATTTCAATAAAGTGAAACAGCAAAAAAGCATGCAGACATATGTGTATGTGTATACCTCATGAACTACATCCAAAAAAAATTTTAATTTGATCCAAAGAGCCGGCAGCAAAAAGTTGACTTCATACATAAAACAACAATTTAAATTTGCAGTCGATTTCATAACCTTACGTCAGCAGACAGCCGCGACTTAATTCACTAAACGTGGCTCAATTTCATTGAAATTTGAATCATACTTATTTATGTTTAGGAATTAAAGCTCAATATTTTGCTGCAGCATTCAATTGTGATCATATTTCAGTGTTTTATAGTCGTAATTCGCTCATTTTTTTGTTCCCTAGAACAAAATCGGTGGTCAAAGGAACCCATTTTGAGTCGATTGAGAGCATTAACGCGGCCGTGACCAGGATACTCGCGGACAGATATATTACGGCGCATGGAAAACGCGCTGGAATCATTGTATGGCTGCCCAAGGGGACTTCTTTGAAGGAGATTGCAAAGCTGTAGAGTAATATACGGTTTTTATGGAATCAGTCTGATTAGTTAATTGTCACGCCTCTAACTAAAAGACGAATTATAATCTCTTGAAATTTAAATAATGAAAATACCACCACTTTTGCATCCAAATTAAATTAAGACCGAATTTAGGAGGCGGTGCTTAGTGTTTAACCTAACTTGATCATCAGCACACACTGGCTGTTTAACGGTCACAATCGCCCCCCCCTTTCCGCATGATTAATACAATACAACCGTCTATCGAATGCTTTGTCTCTTTCGTGTAATGAATGTCAATATTTGGACCCAGTTACTGCACTCACCCAACCAAAAAGCAATACCCAACCGCAATTACGGAACTCAAACACAAATATTTATTGCTTTTGTCCGTATGTAAATAGGTGAATGTTTGCCAGACAAATTGAGAAACTACAAGTTTCCACAGCGAAAAATACGGAACTGAATGTGAGCAAGCAACCTTCTGAAAAATGCAAACGAAAGTCGTCGCTTGGTAAATCCAGTTCGCAAAATTTCCGCTTTTTTTTTTTTTTTGAAAATTATTGCGCGGCTTATAGCCAAAAATAAAGCAAAGCAAAATCGCACAAAATCCAGTTGGCGAATGGAAAATGGTTGTGGAAATATTTACACTGAATTTGGAAAACTTCAGTCGTATATAAAATACACGAACAGAGATAATAGAAAAAGTGGCGAAAGATGTAAAATTTCCATAACAATAAAGTTAAATTGAAAATGTAAATAAAATGAATTTCCACCTCCACCACCTGGTTGTCAGATCAAATATTATAAAAAATGTTTTTATGTGTTTTTTTTTTTAATTTTTTTACAATAAAAAAATAAATGTTGCCGCCAAAACAGCTCAAAACAGCACACCTGAATGCAACTGCAAAGTGAAAATGCAATGCAAACCGCCAAAGAGTCGTTGAAGTAAATAAATATAAACTAATATAACTTGCACTAAAAGGTATGCCATTTTGCATTTGTTGTTGTTTTTTTTTTAATTTATTGTTTGCAATTGTATTGTTTGCTGTTTGTGTGGTGTTGTCGCTGGAATTTCGAAAAAGTCTGCTGAAAACGCACGCAAGCGCCCTAATATGGCGTCTGAGTGAATAAGTCAACAAGAAGCAAGTAAGCAATAATTTGCTGGCGAGTAGTAACCCATACATACACAAATACATAAGTATGCATGCGCGTTGCTGTTTTGTTTTTGCTTTTTGCTTTTTGAAAACATGAAACAACTGCTGCAGCCGGCAAACGTAGGAAACGAGCAAATTGACCACCGCTCAACAAGCAGCTGGAATGTTTTTGCCACCTTTACCATTTCATATCTACCGGTTGCACTAAATTTCTGTTACAATAAAAGGTGCATAGAAAATATGATAAACTAGAATATATATATTATATGCCCGTTATTAGGCCTCAATAATAACCGTAACATTTGTAAGATACACACATAATAATAATAGATCAATCAGTCTTACCGATATGCTCTACTTTGAGCGTTAAGATAAACTGTTAAGCCGTCATCAAAACCCGCTGAGCTTCAACTATATATATTTGTTTTTTATTCCGCCGTCGTAAAAAGACATAAAAGTTTAATGACTTAATGTTGTAAATTTCTTCATTAATGCTTCTCTATGAGTATCTAATCGATATGAGCTCATTTCCGTCAAATACAATTACCGCTGAATCAATTTCTTAAAGAGAGTGTTTTTTAGACATGTGGTTCTCAAGAAATAAAATGCTCTCTCATGAGAAAGTTTCTCCTTATATTTTAAAAATGAGATCGGTCCAGTGGCCGGCGGACTGGCTCTAATTAATTCCAGCCGAAACTACTTTTTGCAGTAATTGCGGCCGTATGTCAGCAATAACGCGCCGAATATTCTCTTCCAAGCCGTTAATCGTCTCGGGCTTAACTGCGTAAACAGTCGACTTCACATAACCACAAACAACCTTCAATAGTCCAGTAATGTTAAATCGCATAATCTTGAAGGCCATGATTACAGGTACACAACATGATTTAATGCCCTCATCAAAAGTGTGATTCACTAAATAGATTTCTTCGTTGACGGTATGACATGTAGCGCCATGTTGTTGGAACCAAAAGTCGTCAACTTGAACATCCTATAATTCAGCCGCGAAAAAGTTATGAATCGTGGCTAGAACCAGAGAGCTAGCGTTCCTTAATGACTGCAGCATTCATTCTTACTTTATTATGGAAGAAATATAGACCAATTATACCCTTTACTCATGGAGTCCACCAACAGCTTGTGGACTATCATTACTCCAAATACTACGTTTATGAAAACACCCGTTCAAATAAAACTGAGCTTCATCGTTGAACAAACTTTTCTTATGAAAATGGGTATCTCGTTCCGGGCCTATTCACCGAACGTGGCACACGCTTGATTATGAAATGGCAAGCCGAGCTGACTGTAAATCAAGTAACAGCTGTTAAAAGGACCAACTCTAAAAAATTTGTTGTCTCATTGAAAGCCTCGCGCCTTAAAAACTAGTCTTTAGCTTAGTAATTTTTGATTGGTACTGTTATTGGCTATAACTGGTCCGGAAAACTTATTCCAGCGTCTGTTTTTTGCGAAAATTTCTTTTCTAATGAGGTGCATGCAAGACCTTTAGGGCCTGTCTAGGATCTTTATGTTACACTGCTTTATTCACAACATTATTCTGGACTACGTCTGGGTAACTTGGAATTCGAGTTATCAAATTTAATCTGTTGAAGGAGGAGCTCGGCCGAAAATCGCTTAAGCGGTTAAAAAGCGCCAAGTTTTGCTTTCCACTTACACAAATTTGTATTAGGACTCTCAGTTGAGCAAAAGCCCGCTTAAGCCAGATGCACATGATTTCATAAAATCTGGAAGTTTGTCTGTGCACGTCACTAGCGACTACTAGCAGTAGTAGAAAACAAAAAAAAAAGGCGGCAATCGATTTGCCTTTAGGCGAGTTCTTCATCATCCAAATCATTCGCCACAAACAGGAGCTGATGGTATTACTTGGTGCGAAGTTTAGACAATAAGCATCTCCCAATCAAGCTGTCAGAACTTCAAGTGAGTCTCTATCAATTATTGTGGTCTGGCGTTGTCCTAATAAAACACAATTACCCACCTGTTGGCTAAAGCAGGACGAAACTAAGCGATTGCATTCGGATTAGCTTATAGTGGATGAGTTCGTATCAATGCCGCCAAACATACAATAAAACCTTCCTGGCTGTCAATCCTGGGGTTGGATACCGGATTTTCCTGTTCACTGCCCTTCAACTAAATTTTTTCTGCACTGGACATGTGTTCAAACACTACTAAGTTAGGTGATCAACACTTCTCCCTGAATTTTTTTAGTACAAAATATCATCTTTCTAACGCCATCTAGCGTAATCCAACCGCACATACGGAACGCAAGATACAGATAACTAAAGTCATCTACTGAAAAATTTAGTGGATTACACTTCCCTAGACCTAGTTAGATCTTAAAAAGTTATATTGATGATGCTTACTAAACGCACGTTAAGATTCTTTGCAATATGAATTGAATAAAGATAGGAAAAATACAGACAGTTACAACAACGTACGGCCGGGTCTGCTAGTTTGAAAATAAAAAAAAATCTTTCATCATTTCGTTAAATTGTTCTAAGTGTTGTTCAAATGTAAATGTTTAAGTAGAAAACTTCCTTATTAGCCAAAGGCAAACGAAGCGAGCGTTACACTCTTTATGAGAATAATACGTAGCGGTTTTCGGCCGAGCTCCTCCTCCAATTTGTGATTTTGCGACTTGATGTTTTTCCAACAAATGAGGGAACTAAGCCGCCTCCTAACAGCTGATGGTTTTTTATGAGAAGCTTTATTTCATGTCAGAAGTACATTCGAAGAGGTTGATGTTCCCCGCCGAAAGGCGACCGCAATTGGATAATTTAATTTAATTTTTAATTTTAAATTAAATTAATTTTCTATAACAATTGGATGTTGGTCGTACTAGGATTAGTACTCAGGCCTTCCGAATGGCAGTAAGCAATGCTAACCACTCGAATACCGCGACGGAGTGTATATATATATATAAATATATATAATATTTTTACAATGAAAGCGTTTTTCTATTGCTATATGTACATATGTATATATGTGCATGGGTACTTGATTTGTGGCATGTGAGAATGACGAATGGAAGTAGAGTCATTGAGCCAGCCCACATAACGGCTTAGTGCGCCTACAATAAATACTATTGTTCTGCGCTTGCGCAATTATGCATAAAATACATTCATTTACGTACTTTTGTTTACACTCACACCAAGCATATACTGGTTTTATGAATATGGAAAATAAAAACCTGCAATTACTCATTAACATAGCAGCACACGACAACTCTCGCAGTTATCAGAACATAATTACATTAAATAATTAAATTCATCTTTCTCTGTTGGAAAAGTGATTTGTACGCTTCTGGTTAAGAGTTTGTGCATCGTTTATTTGCAAATAAATAAAAAAATGACTACGTATAAGAAATTAGCTGTTTTTTTTTTTTAATGCGAAAAAGAATGTCAGGAAGTGTTGAGGTTAAAAAAATCTTGCAGATCACTCACGTGGTGTACTCGCACATAACTAAATATTCCATGATCCATCCATCGCATTGCATTTCATTAGCGATGCTGTGGCGATTGCTTTGATTAGTTTGATTTGTTAGTGGAAATTTTAGCACGTCATTGTCACTTAGGGAGATGCATTTAAGCGATATATTTATTGTCTATGATGAATAACAAATTTCCTAGACAACTAACGTTAACTTTTATCAGATGATTTTGCTTCAATATGGTTCTTACCATATACGAGTACATTACTATGCATCAGCGCATTTGATTCAAGGACGTTTATGAGACGTTAAAATGAAATTAAATAAGAAAGAAGTGCTGTCTTCCGCATTTTTATACCTCTCATGACTATATCAAGTTTCATTTCATTTAAAATTTCATTTTGAATTAAAAATTAATTCTCTTTTCTGAACAAATCGGTTGTATGAGAGCTATATGATATAGTCCTCCTCTTAATCTCACTCTTAGATGATTTTTTGACAAATAAGATTAATCGACTGGTTCCGACAAATGATCGTCTAAATGTAACGGCGTATCTGTATAAAAAGTGGATAAAATATCTCAAACACTGAAATACTAGTTAGCGTACAAGCCGACGACCAAACAAATATGGCTATAGCAATTCAACTCATGATTTTCACCCGATCGGTATAAATTTATACGGGTTTATCTTTTAGATAATAACTGTCCTGACCTCATTCCTAATCCACATTTTAGTGTTATGTGCGGAAAAACTTAGTTACTTCTCTTGGTTCTCTCTCAGGGGCGACATTCGTTACCATCGGTTTTACTATTTCGATGTGAAAGCCTCACGCCTTGATCATGTTTCACGTGGGGCTGGCCTTTTTTTCTGTGGTCGGAAAAGCTTCTTTGCCACATTTCAGCATTTCGAAAAAGTTTTCAGATAATTTTTTACAATTTTGTTTATTATTGCGAACAGATTGGCGTCATTCTTCGCGAACACAATACTGCATGGGAAATAAAAATGCTGTTTAAATTTTTTTTTATATGTATGATCTACTATTCATCACCATCTTACTGAATCACTACTTTCTTTACAGAATGGCGAAACAATGAATCGTGGCTGTGATGAACGTTGCACGTGTAATCGCGGTGAATGGATTTGTGAACCACGTTGTATGGGTAATACATTTAAACTGGTTGGTGGTGCACCACACATGGATTTATCGCAACAACAACACTGCCAACAAGTGGCTATAGATGAATGTTGTGCGACCATGGAATGTGGCCTATTGCCCACAATGAGCGCACCGGAATTAAACGCTGAAGGTGGACTTAATGGTGGTGAGTGTATTATTGGAAAGTGAAATTGGAGTAATTGGATTATATTTGTTAGAAATAAGTAGATTCGACTAGGGAGACAAAGTGAAATTTATTTAGTTTTCCATTAGAAGGAAACAACTTGAATACTCAATAATAATGCATATAATGCACGATGTATATTTCATAAGTTTAAATATGGACAATAGGTTACTTATAATAAAAGTGAATTAAAATTAAATTGTGTCAGATGCGTTCCCTTAAATATGGGTAATATATTGACAAATAGCTTTTAAAATAGCTATCAAACATTTTTATATATGGTAAAATAAAAAACAAATTAATCACGTATTTTATTTTTCTTATTTTATTTTATTTTATTTTATTTTATTTTATTTTATTTTATTTTATTTTATTTTAATTTATTTTATTTTATTTTATTTTATTTTATTTTATTTTATTTTATTTTATTTTTTTGTTTTATTTTTTTGATTAACTTAATTTTTTTTTATTTATTTATTTATTTAAACAAGTAGAGTTATTGAGTTTATTTATGTGAGGTATATGCTAATAGATCTCATTAGTTGGAATAAGCGAAATTAGCATAAAAAGGGTGATTCCATAGATTATATTTTAGACGATAGTTTTCCACTCTTCTCCTCATTTCTTATTTTTCTTATACTCGTGCAATATTAGAATCAAAGTTTCATTTCAAAATACCACAAATTATAATGACAAGATATTTTTGTAATTGTGATTTTAAAGTGACTCACTTCATTTGTCTGCAAAAATCCAATGCGAACTCACCTGCTTTAGATAATAAAATATTTTCGCAGACTATCCGAGGAAAAAACCTAAATATTCGCATATCTTATTTCACCAACAAAGAAACGCATTGTTACCACACCTTGGGAAGGCCATGCAATATGAGTTTTCGAAAAACTTTAATGTCTTACAATTCTCATTATCTCATATGATTTATTTGTACCACATTTTGCTTATTAATGCTTTGTTTTATTCTTCTCATTTCATTTGCTATAAAATAACCAAAAAATAATTAAATAAACAAATGCGAAACCACAAAAATGCGCCACATCCAAAAAAAAAAAAAAAAAATGAACCACCTACACCACCAACAACAACAAAACGAACACAAACAAACATAAATTACGTTATGCCATTGCACACGCCCCAATTCACGACACGCAGCCTCTGCGCAAGCTGCACGACCCGACTGCCAACACAACGGTAATGTGTATAAATTCCGCGAGCGTCTGGAAATCGGTTGCGAAGAGATTTGTCATTGCGACGAAGGTGGCATAATGAACTGTAAACCACGCTGTCCGGAACGAAATCATACTCGTCTTGATAAGTGTGTCTATGTTAAGGATCCAAAGGATGTGTGCTGCCAATTGGAGCTGTGCGATGTAACACTTGACGATCACGAGCAAACACCATCGCCACCAACAGCACAAAACTCTATCACCGACGATCAATATGGCACCGAGGAAGCACGTGACATTTCGGGCGGCCATGAGTCGGCCGATTGTGAGTATAAAGGTCAACATTATCACGACGGTCAACAATTCCACGACGGTTGCGAGCAATTATGTATTTGCACACTAGAAGGTGTCCATTGCGCCAAACTACAGTGTCCTTCAACTTTCGGTTTGGATCTTATGAATCCGCATTGTTTGCGCTGGGAACCGGAACCGGCAGATTTTGAGCCGAAAGCACCCAATTGCTGTCCGGAGAAGATGCGTTGTGTAGATAACGGCACCTGTAGCTACCAGGGTCTTACATTCGACAACTGGTCACCGATACCGACTAATCTAACTGGTGAGTATTGCTTTGCGCACACATACACTAGCATTAATATAAATATTTGCCAGCATAATTAACACTAACAACATTTTCTTTCTTCTTCTTCATTATATCATTCATGCTACGTACGCTTTGTGTGTTGGCTGTCGCTTGCGTTATGACAGGTTGCGAGCAACATTGTTATTGTGAGAATGGCAAGGTTGAATGTCGTCCAGCTTGTCCGCCGGTGCTCGCCTTGCCGCCACCCGATTTACCTTGCCATCCCGCGCAGGCACGCATTTTGCCAATACCCGACGACGAATGTTGCAAGCATTGGGCATGTGCGCCACTAACACCCAAACTTAGTAGTGGAAGTGATGCTGAAACCTCGTCTACAATGTCGCCACCACCAATGCATGCCTTCAATACTGAAGGAATTCACAATCCAAGCGGTAAATATATTTGAATTGGTTATGTAATGAGGAAAGCTTCGTAGGTGAAAGCTCATAAAGCTAACAGCGAAAGCTGCAAAAGTGCTTAGGGTCTGTATGCGGCGTTTTTTAACATCTTACTAAACAGGGGTGGACTTTTCCAAACTAACTGTTAATATTGCTTTGAAAGTATATTAAGGATGTATGATAATGAAATATTTTCTACTAAGAGTGCGAGTATTAAAATTTTTTATTTATTATATATTGAAGTTAAAGAAAGTTTTTCACTGAAGAAGATACCTTCCCATTGAAAATATATGTATCAGGATTCTATTAACTTCCAATTAATAATTTTAATATCGAAATAACTTCTTGGCATCACATTCAAAAGCATAATTTATTTACGTTTCCGAACTATACGATTTCAATACGACTGCCATTTAATTAACATAAATTGCTTGACTTCCAAACTTCTCAGAACGCACAGTGTTTCCGCTCTGTGCTTACAATGTTTTTGTTGGAAGGCTTTAGAATTGAAAGCTCACTAAGCTGCCTGAGCTTTCAATTCTCACTAACACCATAAGCTTCAAGGGCTGAACCTAGTCCGGCACATTCGAGTATGTAATTGAGAAAGACTGAAAGAATTCAAAGAAATTCGGTAGATATTCCTGTTCTTAGTACACTTTAAAAGCTCTCTCGTTATTTTTGGATCAATAAATCATGATGCTGGGAAATAAAACGAGTTTTACCCGGAATATTTGGTGCGTATTGAATATGCTGCTTCGTAAACAAGTATTGGTGGAATTCAAAAAAAGACTCTTTCTATCTATAAACTTCTATATATATTTATTGGATTTATCGATATTAAATTTATTGTGAATCGCTCATTACTTATACATTGCATTATTTTAAATGTTCTGATTTCATATTTTTTTATTTTTCTTTTATTTTTAACCTCTAATGCGCTTCATAATGACTTGTGCACTCACATATCACGTATCTAAATGCAACCTCTAAATAAAACATCGAAAATTGCTATCTTGTAAATAAAAAATATATTTTAAATCATCAAATCATAACCAAAAACTGTGTGTCTCTCCGCCGCCTTACATTCTAACCAACAGCACCAACATCTACCGAAGAGCCGAACAACACTGGCAGCATGACAACGCACGCTTCAAATGATAAAAATGATATTTACCCAAGCAAAGGGCATGAGAAGCCAGCACGACCTGGCGATGCCTTCTATCCCACTATCGATGGAAAACCACCGAAGAGCGCCTCACCATTTGGCGACTTGCGTCCGGAAAAGCACGATAAACACGAAAAGTTCATTAAGAAGCCGGTAATTGTGAAACCTCAACAAAATGAAGTAAAATACGATGTGCACGAGCCACAAGATGAACAAGACACCATGCCACCAGGCTTTATACCCCTACACCTAGGCAGACCTGGTGGACCGGGCGCTGTAAATTACAATCCACACTTGCCCACAGCTGGGCATCCGGGACCATACGGCTTCTACAATCCCGCACAGCCGCCGAAAGATCACTTTGATCCCTATAATCCGTATGAACCTTACGATATCAGTCCCAATGGCATCGCACAGGGTAAACCGCCAGCACCAACTAGCCAATCGGATTTGTTTAACATTTTAGGTGCTGGACCACCCGCCGCCCATCCACCAGGTGTAGCACCTGCAGGTGGCGGCCCGCCTGGCCCGCCACCAGGTTTTAAAGGCCCCGCCAATTTGTCACCTCACGTGCGCATCGAACATATCTTACAACACCTACAACATACACCTGTACAGAGTGCTTATATCGGTGGTCATGGACATGGTAACGAGAGTGGCGCTAATGGCGTACCGCAACAACAGTTATTGCATCATTCACAACCGGGTCAGTCACCTCTACACGCACAATATGTGCCCATAGTACATAGTGGTTTACCACCACCACCACCACCACATGGCATAGCGATTGTCGATGGTCAACCGGTGGCCTATGGTGGTTTCCCAGTAGTGCCAGGACTTGGACAGCCACCTCACGTACCACATGTGCATCCAGCGAATGTGAACACAAACAACAACAGCAATTTACTACCGCATCAGCAATTGCAGGAACAATCGGCGAGCAGTTCAACCAATTTCGAGGCCACCACCAGCGCTGCGGGCTTGACCGCGCAATCCACCGAACATGCTGTGCTTCCAGCGATTATAGGCACAGCTCCACATCATCATCTCAGTCAAAAAGGTTGATTTATAGCTTAGCTATATACACACATACAACCCACAAGCACAGTCTCACTAACATTTAGCCCACTGAAAAATAGCATCATTTAAAAGCATGTAGCGTACCTAACCTCAAAATAACCCTAACAAATACACTAAAGCACGTTCACACTCATGGATCACTACATACTCAATCACCACCATATCTATTTCCTACACTTCACTGGCCTGGTATTGAGAGTTGCGAAGCGAATGCGAAAAGATCCGAAATCTGCCCTTCTTTCGATGTGCGATTTGAAGCAAAATCGCATTCATTCGCTTCGTTTATGACAATACCAATCCTAAACCATTGTTTAGCTTGAGTATTTATTAACTAACTTCTACTAAAGCACAAATCCATAATGAATAAATTGAAAATGAAAATCCAAATAAAGACAAAGCAACTTCGTCTAGAAGTCTACACATCTTTTATCCGCAAAAACACGTTACACGAAGAGCCGGGCTTCGCCTCAATCCGAAGATTCTTTAAACCGAATTTTTTATGCTTTTAAGTCTAATGTTTTAGTGAATTATACGAATAAATACTTGAAACAACACCTTATTATTGATACAAACAAAAATCAAATTAAATACATTTCTCTCTCTCTCTCTCTCTCTTTCTCTCTCCGCTCTTTCATTTCACTAGGCTTTAACAATCTGCAAAGCGGCATTGAAGTACTCAACCTGCAAGCCATAGATCCGCGCACAATTCGAATTATTTTCACAGTGCCGCCAACTTATGTTAATCTACATGGTCGTGTCGAGTTGCGCTACACGAATGGTCCTGGTAATGACACCACCACCTGGGAACAGCAAATCTTTGCACCACCCGAAGATCTGATTGCCACTTCACAGATGGAGTTCGATCTACCCGGTTTAGAGCCAAATTCTCTGTACAAAGTAAAGATCACGCTCATACTGCGCGATTTGAATGCCCAGCCGTCGAGTCCAATTTTGACTGTTACTACGCCCGCTGATCGTACGATTACGCCACCACCACATATTTCCGACTATCGACCAGACTTTAAGGATGTCTTCAAGAACATAGACGATCCGGAGTTGAATGTTAGCGAAACAAACTCCACTTGGTTGCAGTTAACGTGGAAGAAGATCGTCGACGAGCAGTTGGAATATGTTGATGGCATACAGTTACGTTACAAAGAATTGACTGGACAAATATATTCATCCACACCATTGGTGCATCGCTCACTCACCAGTTATACCATTGAGAACTTACAGCCCGATACTGGTTATGAGATTGGTCTATTCTATATACCCTTAGCCGGGCATGGTGGTGAACTCTTGGCTGGTCATATGATTAAAGTGCGGACAGCGCCAAAGGTCGATGTTTACAATTTCGATGTTATGGTTAATGTTACTAAGGTGAAGTCACAGAGTGTGGAGGTTTCCTGGAACGGTGTGCCATATCCAGAAGATAAATATGTGAATATTTATCGCGCTATTTATCAGAGTGATGCTGGTAAGGAGGACTCGAGTGTTTTCAAAGTAGCCAAACGTGATAGTACGACAGGTACATTGATAATGGATCTGAAGCCGGGCACGAAATATCATCTTTGGTTGGAGATGTATCTAACTAATGGTAATATCAAGAAGAGTAATGTGGTGAACTTCATGACCAAACCGAGTGGTCCAGCGACACCGGGTAAAACGGGTAAGTGTCTTATGATGTGGACATAAAAGAATAATGTGGAATAAATATTTTTTTTTATAAATTCCCATTCTCTTTGTTTTGAAAGTTCTCAATGCTTTCGAGAGGATACTAACAGTTTTCAAGGATTTTGGTAATATCTTAAACATTTTCAAAAATTCGCCATTTGATTTTTATTACTATTTTACTGTTGTACTGTTGTGTTAAAAATCGTTAAGAACTCAAGATTTTCCTGAGAAAAGGTTTTGCCGTATTTACCATTGTGATTAGCATATGATTAGCATATTTAGGATATTTAGGTTGCGGGAGCCCAAAAGGTTTTTTTTTAGTCAAGCTGTATCCAGCGTAACAAAAGGCGCTCTAAAGAAGTTTCCTACGGGATGGGGGTTCAAGAATTTTCTCGCGGTAATGTATGCCGGGGTTGGAGTCCTATAGAAAATTGATTTTTCACAATGCGGTCGCTCCTCGACACGGAACCCCAAGCTCTCTGAGTGTATTTTTGACATGAAATAAGTGCTCCGCATAAAAATCCATCGACCATTCGGCGGCGGATTATAAAAAACTGTAGGTCCCTCCATTTTTTGGACAACATCAAGACGCATACCACAAATTAGAGGAGGAGTTCGGCCCAAAATCGCTGCAGCAGTTACAAAGCCTCACTTATATACATATATAAGGTGACTAAAGTCCAAAGTTCCAGGGACACTCGGGTCTTTGGGAATTATTATTGCGACTAAAAAACATAGTGGTAAAGAACATAAACAGGGGAATTATATTTTCAGCATTTAAAAAGTTGGGAACCCTTAATTTCCTTTACGGCCAGAAGCTCTGTCACGATAGACTCTTAAACTTGTGTGATCCTTCAACAGGATCGTCCTCGAGCACAATTCTTACACATATGTACACAATTGTTTTTTTTTTTTTTTTTGTACACATCTGTAAAAAAAAAGGTATTTCGAGCTTCTTCGCATTTTGATTGCCCAAGGGTAAACGTCGTGGGAAAAAAAAATTTTTCTCAGCACTTTTTCCATAATTTTAAATTTTTTTTATATTTGCAAAGAAAAAAAAAACCAGTTGAACGCGAGCGAGTAACGAGCAACTCGTCCACGTGCAGCCCTAACTAACAATGCCGGACAACCGACTCTTCTGAAAATTTTGTTCTTAGATCTGTATAATGTACAAAAAAAAATTCGGAACAATTTCTGTTACGAAAAATGCACATTCCGATTTAACTTTTGATAAAAAAAAAATTTTTTTTAAATTTTCAAATTAGGAAAACTACTCACAGCCAGCGCTGGCGAAAAAAAAACAGTCGGAGATTATTATGGACCACTAGTAGTTGTCTCAGTAGTTGCTGCTTAAAAAAAAATGTCCACAATAGTGCTGTTACTCATATTAACTAGGAGGCGAGTACATCAGAAAAAAAAAATAACGCCACCAAGAAAGAGCGATGCAGCCTACGATAATCCTTCGTATAAGGAAAAAAAAAAACAGGAGACAATGAGTGAGTATTAAGTTAAAAAAAAAAATACTTTGTTTTATTAACAAATTAATTGTTGAAAATGGCACTGAATTATTGATCGTTATATTTATTTTTTTTAAAAAAAAACTTACAGACCTGTAGCATTTTTAAGCTCTAAAGCTGTGTGCGTTTCTTCACTCCAAAGGTCAGGTCGCCTAAGGAATGCGAGTCCTAGTTGTAATAGAAATTAGGACACAAAAAAAAAAATACTTTCAGCTTCTTTTTTAATATTTTATTTTCATTTTCGGTTTTTAAATAAAAAAAAAACAAAGCAATAAACTTTTGTAAATATTTTGTACGCGCATTCGCACTGAATCCATAAGATTTTTCTTTTTTTCTTTTATAATTTTTGAGTTTACTTGTAATTTGCTTGCGTAATGTTCGTAAAATTCGTATAAAAAATTAGTGCCAACAACTAAAGGAAAAAAACAACAAATAAAAAAAAAATTTGGCAGACAATTGTCTAATAGTTGTAATTTTGTAAACGATGGTAGAGAAAAAAAAAAACATACTAATGTATAACTTGTATGTACGACTTAAGAACAAAATATATTTGATAAAAAAAAAGACAACAAAATTATTTTTATGTTTTTCATTTCTTAATTTATATTTAAGAAAAAAAAAAAAAAAGTTTTATTTTTTTATTATAATTAAAAAGTAATTTTTTTATTGAAATTGTGCTTGATTTGATATGTTAATGTGCTTAAGACTTTTGTATGTAAATAGACGTTAAAAAATGTAAAAATACAGCACAGAAACTAAACAAAATGTTTCCAATTCAATTTCATAGAATTTCTTAAAAAAAAATATTTTAATTAAAAATGTCAAAAAAAAAATAAAATTCTCAGTAACTCAGAACCAATTTAAGCACTTTTCTAAATACATTTAATTTTTTTTTAACTCAAAAATAAAATTGGAAAACTAGTTTGATAAAAGCAAATTCGAAACTTGAAATTAATAAAATTATAGTAATGACGAAAAAAAAAAGTATTACAAACGATTTACAATTGCTAACTTCTTTTTTTGATTTTTTTTTTTAAAAAAAAATAAGAGTAAAACTCAAAAAGGCGTTGTAAATTTTAGCTTTACTCATGCATAAAAAAAAAATATGGAATATAACAAATAAGTGAAACAAAACCCGAGTAAAAGCAAAATGTTTTACCACACCTGCATACATAAATACATGAGAATGGCTGTTGGTACAACTTAGAATTTTACAAGCGGCCTAAAAATCCAGTTATATTAGCCAGTGACAATCCAGCAATTATTTTTTTAGTAAAAAAAAAACGATATGGAAGTTTTTAAGATTTATTAAATTAGTGTATGAATACTCATATGTATCTAATGAATTGCTCGTATGTTTGTACAGATGTATGCAATAAAATCATAATTAAATTTAAAAAAAAATAAGAATGTATGTATATCAATTAATGAAATACAAAAATATAAATTAATATTAAAAAAAAAAATCCTGTAATGAGAGATATACCCTATTTTATTACATAAATAAAGTCGATAAAAAAAAAATATACACCTACCATTTAAAATAAAACAAAAGTGCTTTCATTTATTATCTTTAAAAAAAAAAACTCTCAAACAACCTGTATTCATAGTTGTTGTTTAAAAGGTACAACCAAAAAAAAAAAAGTAATGTGAATTAGCAAGCTTCGAAGCGATCAAAACAAAAAACTTTAATAGAAAAAAAAATAAAAAAAAAAAAATGTTCGTAGGGTTCGAACTACTCAAATTACTTAGATGGCTTTTTGCTCAGATTGACATGAACACTACTTTGTCTTCAAAGAAATGGACCAACTTATTAAAAAAAAACGCATTCATTCCGTTTAAACGTGCAGACATCTTTCTTGATACTTGGATTGGAAAAAAAAATGTAAGTTTTCCGAGAAATGGAGTTCAGACTGAATGTTAAAAACAAATATTAAAAAAAAATGTATTACGGACCTTAGTCTGCACAATTTGCTCAAAATTTAGTTCAAAGGGAAAAAAAAACACCAGGATTAACAAGTAAAACATTTCATAGACGAATTTGAGTAGCGAAAAAAAAAAAAATCTCTGGCTATGTATGATACGCACCTCCTTCGGTAGGTAAAAATGAAATTCAAAAAAAAAGCTCAAAAGATTACATGCACACACATGTAACATACGAATATGTGGTTAGAGAAAAAAAAAAATGAGAAGTTTAATATATTGCATTAGTTAAGACTTATTTAAAACTTTTTAAAAAAAAAAAAACATTTCATTCAAATAATATATAGAAAACCACAATAGCGTGTTACTAGATCTTTTAGTGCACATTATTGGTATGTTTGTATGTTACTTGAAATATGCTGAAGTCCAATGAAAAAAAAATTTTCTAACTTGCACAACCTCATTACTTTGTTCAATTACACTATTCTGCTCAAAAAAAAAGGTGGAAGGAGAAGTTGCTGTTATTGACGAGGATTTACTCGCCTCTTCGCCAAAAAAAAAGCCACTGCCTTCATTTACATTGTCGTCTTCACCATCATCATCGTCGTCATCAAAAAAAAAATCATCATCACAATCTTCATCTGTATTATCGTCCGTTTCATCTTCCTCGCTAAAAAAAAAATTGTCTAAATGTATATCTGTAATCAATTCCTTCAACAGCTCAGTCTCGATAAAAAAAAACTCCAGATGCAAATGCTTCTTGGACACATCCAACATCACATTTTTCAAATTAAAAAAAAACAATTGTAAATGTGTAGCACTACAACGATTATTATCGGCAACATAACGTATAAAAAAAAAAATGTAGTAACGATTGAATATGAGCTGATGACCATCGCCGCTTGCAAAAAGAAAAAAAAATTGTAGTAATTGCTTTAACACCCATGCAGGACTTTTTTTCAAACCATCAATAAAAAAAAAAAGAGACAAACGCCCTAAATCATAATTACGATAGAGTGGATAAATGAGTGTAAAAAAAAAAAAACTAACAACGACATCTTTAACATTTTCAAATGGCTCAAAATAAGATAGAAAAAAAAAGAGAATACTACGTGTCCAGGCACTCTCGCAGGTAGGCTCATCAGCTGTGGTAAAAAAAAAAGAAAGCAAATATTATAAAATTAAGCAAGAAATCTCTTCAAATCTTACCGGAAAAAAAAACAAATCGCCAAAAGTATACATATCAGCCCACAATCAACTTCACTCTGATCAAAAAAAAAAGATACATCAAGAGACTTGCGTGTTAAATTATGTAGCAGACATTCTTCGTCGCGCGTTAGTTTAGAGTCTTAAAATAGAAAACAAAACTTAACTTATTAACTCCAAGAATACACTTTTTCGGAAATTTTAATGCCATTTAATACCATTAATTTTACTGCTGTATTTCATGGGGTTTTCATGTCCTTCCGGTATTTGCAATTCAACGAAATTCAATTTATACTGGTCACGCGAAAAAAAAAACATTTCGTCTATTTCGCGATCAATACTTCGCTGTAATGGGCTGACCATATGAAAAAAAAACATTTGTGCTACAGCTGGTCCATCGGCCTGGAATGCAACAGGGAGATTTTAAAAAAAAAAAAGCATTTACCGTAAATTTTCAACTTACTCCAGTTAATTTTCCTCTATACCAAAAAAAAAATCCATATCCATAATCTGCAACAAATTTTAACAGTACACCATTTCTGTCTATTTTTAAATAGCAATTATCCGTGATTCTTTTAAGTTTCCATAATTCAATGAATGGAGGTAATTTGCCGTCCGAACACTTTTTCTCTGCATCGCATTTTTCCGGCGGCGTTTTTTGTTCATCATTTGTGCGCGGTAAACATGGTAAATCCACTTCATAACTGCATGTTTTGGTATTAAAGTTAATAATTAGATTTTTCAAATCTTTGGTATCGAATTGCCGTTCCTGCAAGTGAAAACTGTAAAAAAAAATTTTGATTTATTATCATAGATGAAAAAAAAATCACACCGTTATATTTACCGAAAAAAAAACGTATCGGCATAAATGTAAAAATTTTGCTCTTCAACAAAAATATCGCAATTAAAAAAAAAGGGGGTGCTACATTGGCTGCCGTCGCCATTTATAGATTGCTTTCTCTTTGCAAAAAAAAATTGAAGTGAACAAGTATTCTCGACTATGGAATGCTGTATTGGTTGCTCAAAAAAAAAAAAAATATGTATTAAAAGTAACTAGAATTTATTAATTTTTAAACTTATTACCGGAAAAAAAAACCGTGAAAATTTACACAAAACATAGAGCACATTGACAATTTTTGACAGCTGAAAAAAAAATACGAATGTCAAAAGAAAATATATGGGCAAAAGACTGAATTGCGAGTGCTGAAAAAAAAAATTATCAAAGTTATATGATGTTCCCACTGCAAGAAATATTAAAATTTTGCTAAAAAAAAACAAAAGTAGCACTCGAATTCTTTCATATCTCGCTGAATCGCGTTCGTTGACGAAAAAGCTGTTGCACAATCATGACAACAAGTTTAGAGGAGAATTGTTGGCACCATGGTTAAAAAAAAACGACCATGGTTGCATTTTTACAACCAAAAAAAAAGGTTGAGCCAGATTGATAAAAAAAAAAGTTGAATTAGTCTATCCCATTTGGACGACATGGTCCAGGCTACGTGCAATAAAAAAAAAAAAATGAATCTTCCACAATACCTCTTTCTCAAAAGTACTTAGAGTTTTGTTAAAAAAAAAGAGTGAGGAAATGGGTCCCTTAATCCAGTGTTGGCAAGAATGATTCTGTCTAAGATTTCAATGCTGACATTATAACTGATGTTAATGCTTGTTACAAGGTAGCCGTCAGATTTGCATATATTTGAGCAAACGGAAGTGGCACTTATATCGTATATAAAGCTTTTATTACCTAAAAAAAAAGGGTAAAAATACAATGGCAGCCAAGGCAGCCAGTCGAAGGGGAAGTTTACAAAAAAAAAATTAACGTCAAACATCTTACTTTCCGAAATATTCGTTCAGAATTATTTCTCTAAAAGTTATATTGGTTTTAAATAAATGACATTCGCATTGCACTAACAGGCAGAGTGCTCAAAAAAAAAAAATTTACTGTTGCATTGTACAATTCAATTGCCAAGGAAACGGAAATAATTGAAAAAAAAAATATTATGTCGACTTCATAAATTTATACACACGCATCCATATCTTGGTATTAAAAAAAAAGCAAACGCAACCCTGCAGGGAAAAATAGTTTGCTAGTTTGCTAGTTTGCATAAAAAAAAAAATTACTTTATCATCCATATTTTTCATGTAAACAACGTACTCTCAATGACCAAAAAAAAATCAGATTTATACTAGCTAAATACTAGTTAATATACGCATGTTGAATTTCTAAAAAAAAAAAATAAAAAAAAATCAAAGAAAGTTAATTTGCATGCAGCGACGCAAAACCTCAAAAAAAAAATTGATACATTGATAACCTCTAACCACTAGTCAATATCGTGGGCTCCTGGAAAAAAAAAAAGCCGAGGCGTACACCAACATATGGTGGTGGAAATGATTATTATTATTTCAAAAAAAAAATGCTAGTATTTAACTAAATTTTTTGCATACTAGTCTACTTGCCCCCCGCAAAAAAAAAAATGTATAAAAATGCATACATACATACATATATATGTGTGTTCTCGTATATGATTTACCTTGTGTACCTTGACTGCCCCAAACCGATGCTCATTTAACATAAACGCCCTATTCAAAAAAAAAAAATCACCACGATGGCAAAGGTCTAATCAAATCAAATTAATTGTTTACAAAAAAAAAAAATGGCAAAATGTTAGCGGTTGTTTGATTGTGGGTAACACCTATAACGGTAAAAAAAAAAAAGACAATTGACAAATTTAATAACAACTACACAATGTAAGTGTAAGTGTAGGTAAAAAAAAAGATACATATGTCTCAAGCGTAAATAATCATAATTCAAAGCAAAAAGGAAACAAAAAAAAAACTACGAGTATTGTTGTTGTTTAAAGGCGAGTTTTAAGTGGTCTTCTAGCTAAAAAAAAAGTTTAGGAATCATTGTGTAAACAAACATTGTCCGTCATACTGTTGGTGGGAAAAAAAAAATATAAATTAAAGAATGATATGAAAAAATATAAACAAGTACAGTGAATAACAAAAAAAAAAGTACATCGAAGTACATACATATATAAGAGTTATCCTTTTCAGGGTTATGTAAAAAAAAAAAACTTTCATCTGAGAAGAATAAATTTATGTATGTATATGTATTGGAGTTAGAAAAAAAAAATCAATCCGCCATATCTGGGAACATAGAGGTCATTAGAGCTCGGCAGCTGGAAAAAAAAATAATTATGAGTAAGTGTTCTATAGTAATTCTCCAGATTTCTTCGGCCCCTCAAAAAAAAATGGAGTTTCTAATGGTCACCAAAGGTTAAGACGAGAGGGAGACCTAAAAAAAAAAAAAAATCCAAAGTATGCCCATCACAGGGATTGTTAAAATACCCCTTTTATAACATTAAAAAAAAACAAGGTTCAACTGAATTTACCGATTTCGACTTCTGCAGTAAGAAACAAAGCAAAAAAAAATGGTCTCAAATTGCATTTTCCAAGAAAGGTGCCATTACTTTAAAAACATGCACCAGAATCTGCCAAAGAGTACGTAAAAGAGCCAATGGTGGTTTGGAAGAATATTTTTGAAGAAATGAAACTAAGTTTTTTCTCCTTTTGATGGGTAATATACAATAAATGCAATACTATAAAAAAAAAGCGCCTCAAGTTGATGCTTTGGAGACATTTTTTTTTTGGGGTATAGTGTTGAAAAAAAAACAATGATCTCTGGAACTATGGTTGCCATTTATTATAATAACAATATTTTAAAAAAAAAAAGTGTGCAGTATGATCCTTGGTAAATAATGCTTTTTTTGGAGGTATCTTCGAAAAAAAAAAACTTTTTATGGGAAATTTTATATTTTGGGCCAGCAAAGGCTCAAACCCATAACTCTCTGGTTCGAAAATCGTATTCGTAAATTTAATATATTTCGAATGCGAGAATCTTCAAAAAAAAAAGTAGTCTCCGGATCTTGTACCTACCGAGTTTTACATTTTCCTCTCTCTGTCAAAAAAAAAGAGGGGTGATACCTTCGATGGTGAAGTGGACCTTAAAATCAGGTTCAAAAAAAAAAAAAACAGCAGACCAGCCGATTTTTTGGCGATAGTGGGAGGAGGTCGTAAACACTAAAAAAAAAAATATCATTGATTAATTTATTTTAATTACTGTTGTTTTTTGTTCAAATGAATAAAAAAAAAAAAAACTCCACGATCTTATGTTACAGCCCATAGATTCGAAAAACCTGTCCAAAAAAAAAAGCTTTAACGGGGTGCAGATCTGCTTCATTCCGCCAAGACGCACATTACAAAAAAAAAAAATAGCTCGGACGAAAATCGCTTCACAGGTTACAAAGTTCCTATTCGTTTTTAAAAAAAAAAGCATTTGCGTTAAAGCAATGTGTTCAGTTAGGCCGAGGGTCAATCATCCTGAAAAAAAAAGCGGCTCTCTCCTTTTTGGGAACCAAAGAAACTGCGTTTTGCTTGCTAAATAAAAAAAAATCATACTGGATTTCAGTATCAGCCCACATTCTCAGTGTTTGTAATAATAGTAAAAAAAAAAAACCTTTCACTGTATTTGAATAAATACCGAAGGCGATTTGTCTTATTGAGAAAAAAAAATTATTGGAAAAAGGTTGCAAACCTTTGCTTTGCATATGAAGTACAATATTGAAAAAAAAACGACATAACCGCTTATTGACCAATCAAGAAAATATCAAAGTACTCACATACAAAAAAAAACGTATGCAAATATGCCCCACAAGAGCTGACACGCGGCAATGATTGACAAAAAAAAAAAAATAAGAAACCTAAAAGCAAAGAGGGTGTGAACATCGAGGGAACGAAGAGAGCAAAAAAAAAAGAATTCGAGTATCAGCGGATATAAAAAGCGTCAACAATTTAGCACGGAATAAAAAAAAATGTGTAAAGCGCAATCTTCAAACATGCCAAATCTACAAGAAGAGGACAGTGAAAAAAAAACCACAAGATCACCCATAACTCAACTCTATGGCGGTGATAACGAGGTATCCAAAAAAAAAACGAATATACCAATGAGCATTTGCCAAGTTTGCGGCGATCAAAGTTCGGGTAAAAAAAAAAGAGTTCTCTGCTGTGACGGCTGTTCGTGTTTCTTCAAGCGTAGCGTACGTAAAAAAAAAATCTATACATGCATCGCCGCAAAAGGCAGTTGCGTTGTGGACAAGGCACGTCAAAAAAAAAGTCCATATTGCCGTTTGCGACGTTGTCTGGCCGTCGGCATGAATGTGGCCGCCGTGCAAGAGGAGCGCGGACCGCGTACACAAGCCGCCGTTGGCAGGCAAGCTGTACCGAAAAAAAAAAACTCAGCACTTGCACGTTTTACTTATACCAGCTGCAACTATCGTCCACATCAAAAAAAAACTATGTTGAAACCTCAAAATGATGCTGTCAATGCCGCCTGCTCCTCAGGCAATGCGGTGAATTTCCAAATACTTGCACAAATCCTAGTCACTTGCCTGCGTCAAGCTAAATAAAAAAAAAAATTCCGTACACTAACACCGCCCCAGCAAGAGACCATTTTGAATGCCGTTTAAAAAAAAAGCTTTGTGTTGCGCGCCTCACACTGGTCGCTCGATATCTCTGCCATGATTGAAAAAAAAAGTGACCCGCAATTGCGGCGTGTCATTGCGGAAGCGAAACAGCTGCGGGCCGAAAAAAAAAAATTGAATTTCCTTGAAACTCTAATACTCTGTCGGAAAGGTAAGAGAGGGCAAAAAAAAAGCCGCTGCTTGCTGAATTAGAGGAAATCGTTTAAGCAGAGATTTTGTTTTAAAAAAAAAACCGTTGACGCTGAGAATGCCGTACTATTGGAAAGTTATGCAAATGGCGCTTAAAAAAAAATTGCTCGCTATAGCATGCAGCAATCGAATTGGTTGCGTTTCGGTACATTATAAAAAAAAATGAGGCAATTGACTCAGCGTTGTTACGACAGTCTGCTAGCGTCGTTTTTTCGCACTGTTGTGCGGGACATTGTGAAGAGCTTGTGAGGGCCATTATGCGCATTTATTACGAAAAAAAAAACGATTCGCTAATCAATGCTATAAATTGACTTTTCAGTTATCATGTAGGTATAAAAAAAAAGTAATAAGAGATATTTAAATTAAAAGTTAAATGTAATCATAGCAAAACCAAAAAAAAAAAAATGTAAATGCACTTCTTCAAGGCTCAAATCTGGTTCTTTATATCAACAAAAAAAAAAAAAAGTAAGTGTTTATCTCGCAACGTTAAGACTGACCGCAACACAAACGAGAGAAAAAAAAAGAAGCTGGAAAGAGAAAGTGGGTTTATAAAAAACTTGTGGGGAAGACCAATAGGGAAAAAGCTCGAAAGTTCTACACAAAAAGTAGAACACTTATAGATAGTCTCAAGACCAAAAAAAAATCTTATAATAGACGGTGAACCCCAAATCTTAATCGATGATGATAGTATGGAAAAAAAAAAACCGAGCAAAACTGAAAGCTCTATAAGGCTGGGAAGGATATATCCTAGCCGAAAAAAAAAAAATGAGACTCCATAAAGGGACTTTCTTTTAAAATAGCTCTGAAGGTGTTCAAAAAAAAAATGCTTAATCTCCGGTGAAAGCACAGGAAGAGAAAGACTTCCACTCCGTTCAAAAAAAAAGTTCGAGAAGGATCTAGCTGCACTTGGTTTATAAAAGTTTGGAGATGAAATAAAAAAAAAGCTGTTGTTGATTTGGCTATAATCACCCAAGACGAAAAATAGAAATGAAGAAAAAAAAAACGACACCATAAGTAGATTTTAGTGGACATGTCCCTCGTGCGACCAACATCCAAAAAAAAAAGAAAATTAATTTAAATAAAAAATTAAGCTAAATTTTTTAATTGCGGTCGCCTCTCGGCAGGGCATGCCAACCCCTCCGTGTGTATTTCGGACATGAAATAAAGGCTCCTCAAAAAAAAAGCATCAGCCGTTCGGCTGATTCCATTAGATGGAAAAACATCAAGAGGCAAAAAAAAAAAATGGAGGAGGAACTCGGCCGAAAACCGCTTCAGCGCCGATTATTATTACTATAAAAAAAAAAAGTTTGGTACGTCGGTGTCAAGTCACATATCCAGACTCTAAGACGAAATAAAAAAAAAAAAATGTCCAGATCTTAATTATGTCAGTATTACTTGGGTCTCTCGTTCTTTAAAAAAAAAAGGGTGTGCTTGGAGTCCAAGAAGGCCATTCGCTCGAAGATATTCCATGAAGAAAAAAAAAAACTCTCAGTAAATGTCATTTAAAGCTTTTCGCTACTCCGTTTTGACCAGCAAAAAAAAACTATGGTGCCGAATGGAGTCTTTATAGTTCAGTATTACTTTCCTAATGTGCAAAAAAAAAGGTTAAGCCTCAAAGTAAATATCTGTTGGGATGCTCCCGATGGTTGCAAGTAAAAAAAAAGTGACATCAGAATGTTTTCTGCCACCGCCATGAGGGAGCAGCGTAATTCATAAAAAAAAAGCCGAGTTGAGGATTTTCTTGCAACTCTGCACTTTTATGGCGATTGCAGAAAAAAAAAAAACTGTCGATTGTGGCTGCCAGTAATTTTAGGTTGTTAGTTAATGAAATTTCAAAAAAAAATTGAGCCGGTACTCCTTCGTCACGCTGGTGAAAAGCGTAGCCGAGGATTTCAAAAAAAAAAGCTGTAGGTGTCGTGCGGTGGAAAAGGTCGACGAGATAGCAGTTTTCTTCAAAAAAAAAGTTGAAGTTGACCCAGATTTCATTCGGCCCAGAGGCTGCAACCCTTTCGGCAAAAAAAAACGTTTAGTAATTTATTTTTTATCGCACCAGCTGGTTGTAGATATATGCAAAACGCAAAAAGTGGTTTTTATCAATTATTTATTTCCTAATATATATTATATATTAGGTTAGAAAAAAAAAAAACTTAGTATAATTACATTATATCAATATTTAATATATTTTGTTTTTTAAAAAAAAAAAGAATTTTTGTTAGTTTCAAACTAACTGTGTGTTTACAATATTTTATTTTATAAAAAAAAACCAAAACGTATTTTTTAAATAAATTCCTACTAAAAATTTGCTTTTGTGACTAAAAAAAAAAATCGGATGGGTATGGGTGTGTGGTAATATGTAATGGGTTACTTATAATTACTAATTTTAATCGTTTCTCGGTTTGTTGATTTTTTTTCTTAAAAACTGTGATGTTTTTTGAAAAAAAAATTTATTTTTTATTGTTTTCACAATTTTTTTCTTCCTTCAAAAGATGTCAATAAAAAAAAAGGATTTGAACTATTACTTCAACCTCAGAGTCCGTTGTTTTGATTTTTGCTGAAAAAAAAATGTTTTTATTAATGTTAAACATATATTTTCGTATTTAGTAAGTTTGTACCGAAAAAAAAAATTTCAGTTACATCTTTGGCATTTGAGTTTTGAAAAGCTCTGCAATAAACCAAAAAAAAATAATTTTGTTTTTATCTCCATTAAAAATTTAAATACCTTCAATCTTCTAATAAAAAAAAAATATATATATATATATATATATATATATATATATATATTTAATAGTTTTTTAAAAAAAAATATTTTGGCAAAGCAATTATTTGAGCTCTTTCTACTGTGTCTTATACTTACAAAAAAAAATACAACTGTACACATTAATGGGTATAAACTTAAATTGTTAAAAAATTATTTACTTTTTCTACATTTTTTCAGACTACTTTTATATATATTTTCCATTAACTACAAACATCAAAAAAAAAAAACAACGATTGTCTCTTAAAAAATAGACACTTTGAAGTCGGAAGATTTACAAAAAAAAAATAAATACTTTCTAGAAAAACATCAAGTCGTCCATTTAAATATTTTTAGTGGTAATAATTTGTTAAGCTTTTATCGCTTTGGAAGCCTGACTCGAGACGTCTTTAAATTCAAAAAAAAAAATTCAACTTGAAAACGAACGTACCTAACAGAGGATAGTTATGCATATTCGGCAAAAAAAAAATTGAGCAATGCCTTTAGCCGATACCCCTTTATTCAACGGCTGATAAATTTAAAAAAAAACAACAGAAAAAGTGATTAAATGTTTTATTTGTGCATGGTTTTAGTCAAAGAAAGTAAAAAATTATATTATTTTGGGCTTTCGAGCGAAAACTAAAATTTATTTTATTTGAAATTCATCTCGCAATGAAAAAATATAAATATTTCTTCGTCCTTCAAAGCAGAAATCATCATAAAAAAAAACAAACAGGTATGAGGACGGATGCAAATGTGAGGAAGAGTTCTCCATAACATAAAAAAAAAGAGGATATGGGCACATCACACTTCATCATTCGATCTGGCTGGATCACTTGCAAAAAAAAAAGACTGAGGCAGTTACTGCCATCAGGTCGCCAGGGTTGCAGGATAAGTAACAAAAAAAAATAGTAGCGAGAATTTCCGATGAAGTCATAGTTGGTGTGGACTTTCTCATTGAAAAAAAAATTAACTTGCAAGAAACAGTAGTTGCCGCTAAATTGTGGTCACGATTCTTCGAAAAAAAAAAAGAAATTGCTCCTGGTCAAGAACGATCATCAGAACAAAAATATCCATGGAAAAAAAAAAAAGACGTCTGATACCTTGAAGCAAATGTTGAGAGATGTGCATGAATTTGTTAAAAAAAAAAACCCGATATAATAAGGTGATAGGATCGAAGGGATTTCAGAACAGAAATCTAAAAAAAAAGTATGGTGCTTTTGAAGGCTTTTGAAATTGTGTAGGTCCTCAACGACGTAGAAAAAAAAATCCAGACCATTGGCAGGCCAAAGTTTTAGAGAGAAAACAGCATTTAGGAAAAAAAAAAAAGATCGGAACTTAGGTGGAGGGAAACGCAACGAAAATGCCAAATGCGTTTATAAAAAAAAAAGCCCAATAGCTGAAGCATGATCTAGAACTCGTGTATGGAAACTTCCTTACAAAAAAAAAACGAAAAACACCCTCTAGAGATTCATGTGAGTAATCGTTCCGCTATATAAGAGTAGAGTAGAAAAGTAGATTGTATAGACATATGATGACATCTCATGATTTAAGGACATGAAAAAAAAACGAAAACATCCTTAAGTCTGCTGGAATTATGGTCCAACAATTTCCGGAAATAAAAAAAAAGATTATGCGCGATCCACCGAGCTGTAGTGGTGAGCGGTTTAAAGACCAAAAAAAAAAAAAATACCATCCGTCAACCACTGTCCCATGCGACTTTTTCAGTTTCCAAAACTCAAAAAAAAACGCCGTGAAACTCGTTTCGACTCGATTGTGGCCATAAAAGAAAACTGGTTGAGGGAAATGAGGTCGACTACCCTCAATAGAAGACGACAGAAGTCACGAGTTCGAAAGATAAAAAAAAAAGCAGAAAATTGTCTTTCTTTACAAAATAACAAAAAAAAAACATAAAATTCTAAAAAAAAAATTTTCATATCATACTTCCAGCTATTTATCACGCACACATATAAATTTTCCAATAATTTTACACTAGTTGCGCTAAACACTCAATAAAAGTGACTCTCCTTTCAAATCTTCAAAAAAAAACTTCGCAAGGAACTTAAATTTACATCTTGACCTCTGGAATGAGGCATGGAATAAGCATCACAAAGTTCAATTGTTTGGAGGCTTTCAAAAAAAATTTTGCAGAGCAAAGTTAAAAAAAAAAGCGTTGCAATTCTTCTACACTCTTATTCTTACGTTCCAAGTGAAGAAGTCAAAAAAAAATTAGCCATTCAAAAGGCGCACACAATACTCAGCTTGTGCGTGCCTTAAACCAAAAAAAAACTGCCAAGTAAAGCCTCTACATTTAACGTAAGCTCATTACGTCGAGTCACGAAAAAAAAACCAGGGGTGGTGTTATTCGAATTCACCGAAGCAGTTGTAGTCGCCGTTGAGAAAAAAAAAGTGGGACTTTCCATTATCGCGGCACCACTGCCGACAACATTGTGACCGATGAAAAAAAAAGTGCGCGAAGGCGCTGGCGAGGTTGGCGCCGACAACAACGCGCCCGTTGTAAAAAAAAAATGCGCCTCCACCGTAGAAGGTGGACTACGGTTCAAATTGCTATCCAAGCTGAAAAAAAAATGCGACGACGCCGGCGATAGTGGTATCTCTTCGATTTTCTCTAGATCTTGTAAAAAAAAAGTGGAATTTTGCTTGTGTGCCCGTGTGAGTGTACCCTTCGGACTGCGCGAGAAAAAAAAAAATATAGGTATATCCAACATGGAGGATTTATTGGAGATCGTCATTGCATATAAAAAAAAAAATGAACTTTGATGGTGCTGATGATGATAGTGATGTTCCGTTTTGTTTTGTAAAAAAAAACGGTCGAGACTAAATTGACGGCGTAATAGGCGACTTGAGCCAGGCTTCGAAAAAAAAAAAACGCTACTGCTGTGTACGCTACCACCGCCAGAGCCTGTACCACCACCGATAAAAAAAAAAGCACCCCCTACACCGCTATAAAGATATTTGCCATCATAGAACTGTGTCAGAAAAAAAAAACTGGGGCTGAGGCATTTGTAGTGGTTGTAAGGTGAACTGAGATCCATCATTAAAAAAAAATTTTTATAAAGACGTGATGAGGAGCCACCTGCTGAGCTAGGTAAACGATTAAAAAAAAAAGGTGTGAGCAAGTTCTCCGGTGAGAGCTCAGACATTTTTCTCGATTGCGGAAAAAAAAAAGGTGTTTTCGCGGGAAAATCAGGACAGAGTGTGACATTCGGGCTGATGGTGAAAAAAAAAGTGGAATCAAGCGAGTAGGAGTTGGGTAAGTTTGATGAACAAACGTCCGCAAAAAAAAAAGGGGTGATCTCCACTTTGACTTCGACCGATTCGCCGGCCAACGAGGAAGACTGACTCGAGGAGGGATTTGTGCTGTTGCGTGATTTGTTGGCTTGCGCCTTGAGCGTGATTAAAAAAAAAATGAGTGACTCATCAAGGCTGTAAGAAGTGTGCAAAATAAAAAAATATGGAAAAAAAAAAAAAGTTAAATAAGAAAAATTGCAAAAAATCGGATGTTTTGAAATATTTACGAAAAAAAAACATGTGACTCACTGTGAGCATTGTAAGTAAGCATTGGAAGACATAAAACCTAAAAAAAAAATATTCGAAAACAGAGTACGAAGCTTATTTCACACTTACCCTATCGGCGGCAAAAAAAAAAGTGGTTTATCAAAGCCCTTCTTTCCCAACAACCAAAATGTGTTCATCATGAAAAAAAAATTTATCTCAATCAGGCCACGCTGGTCTATCGTATAACCACCACGTGCATCCAAAAAAAAACGCGTCTCCTGCGACATGTGTATGCGCCACGAGGAGCCTTTGGCGCACATTAAAAAAAAAATAAATGAATAATTATTTCAAAATACTAAATTAAAAATCAATGCTCTTACCAAAAAAAAACATACGCGATGCGGTATTCACGGTGTCACCGAAGAGGCAATACCGAGGCATAAAAAAAAACACCACACCAGCACAACAGGGACCAGTGTGTAATCCTATACGTAGCTGCAAAAAAAAAAATGGTAAATGTTTGACATTAAAGCGCCCACTTTGATGTAGTAAATCCAAAGCAAAAAAAAATATTTGCTCCGCATGATCGGGTATTTTCACTGGCAAACCACTAACCACCATAAAAAAAAAACCAATGGTTTCCACCTGTACACATTATTCCAAAGCACTTAAATAAATGACAAAAAAAAAGGAGCTTGCTTGCTTCACTTACCTTATAGACATTGTACGCATTGATCGTAGAAAAAAAAATTGTATAAAGATCGTTAAGCAGATCCACAACCTGTACGGGGCTACAGTGTGAAAAAAAAATTGTAAAACCAACGATATCGCTAAAATAAATTGTAACATCGGAGAATTCTTAAAAAAAAACAGCTAAGCCCATTTTTAATTTTTCCGCCACCGAACTGAAAGTGAAATTTCAAAAAAAAAGTTAATAATTTCATAAACCGTTTGCGTAGGGCTAAAAAAAAAATCAGGTGTAAAAAAAAAATTTCTAAAAAATCTGATTTATTTCCTAATTTACCCCATTTAGTAGCCACGTGCTTCTAAATTCCCAACATAATCCAGATAGTTTTCCAAAGGGCAGACAAAATGAAACCTAAAAAAAAAATAAAACAGAAAAAGTGGTGGAGCCATTTAAAATATTCCGATAGCGCTTTTTTCCGAAAGGACATATTAAGTTACTTTTAATTTTAAGTAGAATTTTAGCTAGATTACAAAAAAAAAAAAAGTCGTCATGTCTGGAACATGTCTGACTTCTGTTTGTTCTTATCTGGATTGAAAAAAAAATCGTATTCTCTATTTCAAGATTTTGTGTGTCGGGAATTCAGATCCTCAAACAAAAAAAAAGTCGAAAACTAGACCTTACGGTGGCGTTACGGTTGATATGGTACCTAATACTTCAACATTTGCTGTGTATTGTGGTCCAATATACTATTTATATACCGCGATAAATTGAAGAGTCTGCGAATTGCGATTAACGGTTCCTTTTAAGGTGGAGAGATATCTGTTGTAAATAAAAAAAAAAAAGTTGAAGAAAATTTATCGGAATACGATGAAGAGAGTTTTTAAGGGTTCAAAAAAAAAAAAAGCGTGAATATGGCTTAGGAACCGGTCTACCAGTACCATCAGACCAGCAGAAAAAAAAAAATTGAAAAAATACTGCATATACGAAGCCAACATGAGTAAGAACACGGATTGAAAAAAAAATTGGACAAAAAATTATTTTCTCTAATTGCGCTCGTTCCCGGTTGCGAATGTCAACCACTCTGACATAAAGAAAAAACTGCTCATAAAAATTCATTGGCCATTCGGAGGTGGAAAAAAAAAAAACAAGCGCACCACAAAGTGGGGGAGAAGCTGTACAAAAAATCGATGAAGAAAAAAAAAAGCTCCAATTATATATTTATATGTATATATACATGAAACATGGCTCAGCTAAAAAAAAAAAATGAATGTTAAATCAGTGGAAATCCATAATCTATTTTACATGGAAGGAGGAAAAAAAAAATTTATTTTATGCGCAGAGAGTGCATTTAGAGTTTTAAAGATCTAATTGGAAAAAAAAAACTAAATTTTACCTATAGTTAACCGCTTGAATAATTCAACTATGACGGAAAAAAAAAAAAATTTAAAATATATCTTCGCACTAGAGCATATCTGATGACTGAGATCTAAGTGAAAAAAAAAAATGCACGATCGATCGCACCTAATAAGCATGACTTCAAACTTGTCAGATCATCCGTTGATGAAACATTCTCCCCGTACAATGAATTTATCGCCTTAACAGCCGCGCCATTAAAAAAAAAATGTACCAGATGAGCAAGAAAGCGAAGAAAATAGATCTTGTAATGAAAGCAAAAAAAAAAACCCTTTTCACTAAAAAAACAGCATACTCGCTAATATGAATGGAGAAGGAAATTGAAAAGTAAAGTCCTCTCTCGGCGAATAAAGACCGAAATCTACATTCTCTCGTTATTCTCCTCCTACCCTTTGGTTCAGTATAAAAGAAGTCGTCTTTTGCGCATGAGAAACGGCAAAAAAAAAAAAGATAGACGCGTTTGAAAGATCTGACTGCATTTGGTGTACCTAACTGGCGCTAAAAAAAAAAAGTAAGAACGAATTACTAACTAAATTTATTAATACGAATTAATTAAAATAAAAAAAAAAAAAAAAAAAAAATTTACAGATTTCTATTGTCACTGGAAAACCTGAGCTCTTCACTTGGAACATGAGTCGACTACTTATGTCATCCATGAAAAATGTGAAGAAAAGATCTAAAAAAAAAAAGATTATTTTATAATTTAAAATATCGTCCCCTCCTCGTCTCCGATCTCTTCTGAAATAATTTTTAGTTATTATTCTGAGGGATAAATAAATTCTTACCTCGGCAGCATGCGATTTAATAGCTGCTCCGTTTTCTTCCGTTCAATATCCAATTGATCCGTTCGTTCACGTATCAAAAAAAAAAAATTATTCGAATACTTTTCGAGCATTTGGAACATTGTATCGACGAAATTGACCTTACGGCCGTGGTTGAGCATTTTAAAGCGCTCGTAAACGCTGACAAATTGTGGCAGTAAGCGGCAACATTTACCACGGCACATCATTAAGATAGTCGTTAAAGTTGTCATCAACAGCCGGCAGGCATAATACGTCAGCGTCAGGTGAATAGGCGAAGAGGGTTAGGGAAAAGTAAATAAAAAAAAAAGCGAAAATAAACATAAAATCAATATACACAGAGTGTCGCAAAGTATATTTAAAAAAAAATGCAACACACTTTATCACATAGATAGTAAGTACTTAAATAAATATATATGTAAAAAAAAATACGCATATTTATTAGCAGATGGTAGGTAGTAAGTACGTATAAACTTGAGCAAAAAAAAATCACGAGTTAAAGTCTGGCCGCATGTCCGGCTGCTCAGCCCAGCATTGACGAAAAAAAAAGATAGCCTCCGGCGGTGCTGCACCCTTCGATACCGATGGCCGTATCAGTGGAAAAAAAAATTTAATCTTCGCTATTATCTCGTCCGGTGATAGTGACAGCATACAGTATGGAAAAAAAAATACCACCACCTCCTGCATGATGATACCGAATGAGTATACGTCACCCATTTGAAAAAAAAATACGCGTCCATGGTGATGATGATGAGTTTTCATTGAACGCAACAATTCCGGAAAAAAAAATAGCAATTCTTTGGCGGTGCGTGTGGGTGGTAGAAGACTCTGCGCTTCATAAAAAAAAAACAGCCCATAATCGGTTATTTTCAGTACCCAACGCGCGTCCACAACACAATTAAAAAAAAATAATGTGCCATGCACGCGCACCGGTGAGGCATGCAAGTAGCGCATGCCGCGAAAAAAAAACGTTAACAAACTGAGACGAAAACTCCAATCCAATTTGATTTCATCCATTATAAAAAAAAATTGCAGTGAACCGCGTGAACAGTAATCGAACACCATGGCGGTGCGGTTCGGAAAAAAAAACCAACCTAAGGGTGGGGAGCAATTGTGTGGGAGAAAAGAAAGAGAAAAAAGAAAAAAAAAGTATTACACAAAGTTTTAATTGCACGTGACGCAGCAAGAAAGTACTGGCATAAAAAAAAACTATTTATTACCCACCAATTAAGGGGTTAATGTTCTCATGCCGCATTCCATAAAAAAAAACCAACAAATCCATTGCCTTGGCCTTTAACTCGGTCGATCCATTCAAGGGTAAAAAAAAAAATTGCACCAAATCGCCATTGTACCGTGCGCGCATATCTAATAGTGCGGGATAAAAAAAAACCAAACTATTTGTGCCCGATGTACCTTTGCCACCGTTGGCAGTTGTTGCACAAAAAAAAATAGCGGTGGCCGTACCACCGCCTGGTATGATTAAGCCAAGATTTTTCAACGAAAAAAAAAATCCTTTCAGTAAGTCAGGCTTATCCACTTCGGGTCCACCGAATTCTTGAAAAAAAAAAAGCCAGCAGCAGAGCATGGCCTCAATGCCTTCATCGACCTTGTTGGGGGAAAAAAAAAAAAATTGTTAGTTGTAATAGCTGGTAGAAATTATTTGTAAGTTGAATGTAAAATAAAAAAAAAAATGTTTTGCTCTACCTTAATTTTTTTTTTTTTAATTTTATAACTTTTTTAAAAAAAAAAAGTTTATTTAAAATTATTATATTTTACTTGATTTTATTCTATTCAATTTCATTTGAAATTTTTATTTGATTTATTAATATTTTTAATTTAGTATGTTATATTTGATACTGCAGTATTTTATTTTATTTCACTTTGTTTTATTTTTATATTTTTTTAACTTTTTTATTTCATTTATTTCAATTTACCTTTATTTTATTAAGATTTATCTTGTCTTACTTAATTTGTTTAATATAATTTTATTTTGGAGTTTTTACTTTCCATAATTTCATATTTATTATTTTATTTAATATTTTACTTCTTTTATATTTTAGTTTTTTCCTATTGATTTTATTTTATCTTTTTTATATAATTAAATTTATTTTAATTATATTTTAATTTGATTTATCTTGTGATACTTTATTTTATTTTGCAAAAAAAAAAATCTTTTATTTTATTTTAAGTTTTTCATTATATTTTATTTATCATTTTTTAAAAAAAAAATTTTATATTTGTTTTATTTTATTATATTTTTTACTATTTTATTTCATTTTGTCTTTTTTATATTATTCAATTTATTTTAATTGTATTTCATTATATTTTATTTTATTTCTTAAAAAAAAATTTATTTTATTTTATTTTAGTTATTAATTTATTTAATTTAATTTAACTTTAAAAAAAAAAATTTGATGTAATAAAATTTTTTTTAATTTTATTTTATTTCATTTACTGTGAAAAAAAAAAATTCGATTTAATTAAATGTAATAAAATTTTATTAAATTTTAATTCATTTAAAAAAAAAAATTATATTTTATTTTTTTATTTTATTTCATTTTATTTTAATCTATTCTATTTCATATTAATTTAAAGTATTATTTTTTTCACTTTAATTTACTATATATTATTTTGAATTATTTTGTTTTGTATTAATTTATTTAACTTTATTTCAGTTTAAATTAGTTTATTTTATTTAAATTTTATTATACTTTATTTCAATATTTTTAATTTTATTTTATCTTGTTTTACTTTATATATAAAAAAAAATTTTTTTTGGATCTTCATTTAACATTACTTTATATTTTATATTTTTAAATTAATTTTACTTTATTTTAGTTTTATTTTATATCATTTCAAATCATTTTATTTCATTTCATTAAAAAAAAACTATTTTATTTTAATTTGTTTTATTTTATTCGATTTTTGTTTATATTATTTCATTTGTTTTAGTTTATTTTATGTTAATTATATCGATCCGTTCAATTTATTTAATTTATTAAAAAAAAACTAATATTTTTTTAATTTAGTTATTATAATTTTTTAGTATTTTTTATAATTAAAAAAAAATGAAACCCATTGGTAAATGATTAAAATTATTGCAATAAAGAGTTTCAACTTATGTTCGTAAATCACAACAAACCTTGATATAGGTTTATAAATAAAACTTTACTTACCCTACGCGAGTCAACTGGAAATACAAAGTCATCCGCGGAAAGCACAATTTTATTTGGTCCTTTTAAAAAAAAATTACGCAAAAAGTAATTTCTGTAAGTATGAAATTAATTGAGTAATTAGTCCAAAAAAAAAGTCCCAGCGGAATAACATTTATATATGCTTAATACATAAGTATATATTTATAAAAAAAAATATACATACATATCTTTGCTCGTATAATTAATATGTCTCTAGTAATTATGTAAAAAAAAATACTAAATATATAACGGTGTACTTAGCTTAAGAAGACATAAGCTGCACTTTAAAAAAAAACTAAAAATTCTGAAAAATTATTACCGTCAACTTGCGTGTCTTACGAGTTTGAAAAAAAAAATAGAACTTGAGAGCATGATGATTTCTTATGCACAGACGCCCAAGTGCTTAAAAAAAAAAGCCATTTGCAATGATACTGAGCTTGTGTTTATGTTTATGTTGGCATTAAAAAAAAAAAAAATATAATGTGATGAAAAATAACTCAGTATATAGTGTGATGTGATGAAAACGAAAAAAAAAACCAAAAAAAAAAAACTTAAAAAATGTATATAAAAACAACAAAATGTTGCTAAAAAAAAAAGATTTTATTAATGAACTGTACTAAAGTTTCACGTTCAACTACGAGTACAAAAAAAAAAATCAGTAGATCTCCTCCTGTTTGGTAGACCAAAGTAGCACCAGTTTAGTCATAAAAAAAAATGCTCTTCTGCCTGTTTACACTGTGTAAATATTTTTTTACGCATTCTCAACAAAAAAAAAACACATACATACATACATATATTGCATGAAAATGGAGTAGACTGTATAAAAAAAAAAAAAACTTTTCTCTGATTTGCACTGCTGTCTGCGTAACATTGTTAGTTGTAATGTTTTTGTTTTCAGCTACACCCATCGTCTGTTGATTGGTTGGTGGCTCATTATGCACAAGTTTGTTGGCATTCAGCGGTCCTTTTATATTTTTATGTATCATTTAACAGCGGTCACTAGATGAAAAAAAAAGTTGTGTTCCACGGAAAAACTTATCCTTGCCAACTGACAACAGTATAGGTGACCCGAAGTTACATCGATAAAGAAAAACAAAACACTCAAGGAAGGGTTCTGAATGTTGCTAAAAAAAAAGAAGAGCCACTACAGTAATCTGAGCTTTTTACCACCTTTTCGAATTAATTTGAGTAAAAATTTTGGGAAAGTACTATAATAATAAGCGGACAACAGATAGAGATGGATAAAAGAATTATTGTATGACAGTTACGAGTAATATTTTGAAAAAAAAAAGTTTGGTCTCAGTCTAAAAAAAAATGGATCGAACCTTGTTTGTAGTTGGAAATGTGTTCATTGTTGGTCAAAAGTAAAAAAAAAGCATTTTTACGCAATGAAAATGCAGTAGATGGTACGTAGAATTGCTAAATGAAAAAAAAAGAATTCGTTGGTTGATTTCTCAATTTGATTTAAGTTCAGAGAAACGCTGTACGGTGTCTAAAGAAGTTATAAGACAATACGACGTAATTTATTAGCAAAATGTTTAGTTAAAACTTCCCAACCAAACTTTTTCTAATTTTTTCTGCCCAGTCGCTGTCTCTTGACTCTCTACACCAAGATTTAGTCGTCGTATAACTTATACAGCTCGGCTGCGGTATTCGCCGTTGCCGATGCGCAAAGGACCATAAATCTTACGCAAAACCCTTTTTCTCAAAAACTCCCAACGCCGGGTTATCAGATTTTATCATCGTTCACCCTCCGAGTCATATAGCGTGACGGGTTTGATGATCGATTTGTAGACTTAGGTTTTCGTTTGTGGAGAGTGGAATTTACTGTTCAATTGCCTACACAGTATAAAGTTAAGAGGAGAGATTCTGCGTTGGATTTCAAGGCTAAAAAAAGTTGAAAATATATTTTTTCTCGCCTTAAAATGAGAAAATATCGCCTCAACCAGGCTCACAGTCGTAGAAAAAAAAAAAAGTTTTTGAATGTAAAATATGAAGGTTGCCCTGTAAAATAGGATTGTGATATTCCGAACTTAAAAACTTCTCATCAGACCAATTTGTTTACGACAGTTGGAATGAGCTGCTAAAAAAAAAAAAATGAGTAATAAACATTTCTACCTGGCCTATTATCAACAAGAGCAAGGTAAAACACGGTAAAAGTGTGTACCCTGCGGTGCAGCGTACACTGTTTTGTATATATTGCATTAAAAAAAAAATTAGCATAGTTGTTTTTAAATTACACACATAGAAATGCAGTAAATAACCGAAAAAAAAATAACTCGGCTCACAAATTGCACAAAATATTCATTTTTATGGCGATTAAATAAAAAAAAAATGTCACTTTCAGCATGGCGTGTACGCGTAGTAGACCGAGGGAGCATAGCATAAAAAAAAAAATAAAAACCAAAAGTTTGCACAATTCAGTATACCCTTGTGCGTGGGTGAGAAAAAAAAAGAGCCAACTGAGTACAAATAGCTATGACTGCAGTTGCACACACACACACACAAAAAAAAACACACACGCTCACTTACATAGTCTTTGTGCTTAATTAAATTTAATTGGCTTAAAAAAAAAAGCTTTACACGGTTATCTACAGACGTTTATATACGAGTATATCGCTCCAGCTTCTAGCCAATATATACGTTTTAAAACTTTTAAAAGAACTTTTTAATTATAACATAAAACAAAAAAAAACTGTGCTTTTGTATTGTAAGACTTCTGGTTGTAAAAATCTAGGAAATTAACAAAAAAAAATTTCAGCAATTCATTAAGTTAGCTTGATACATTGGAATCATAAGATTTTGATTGTATATTTTGAGTTTGGTTAATAAAAACTTTTCTTATGCCAAGGATAAGAACTATATTATGATAATAAAATCTATTCTAGTTAGGAAAAAGGTTGGAAATAGAACATGAAATTACTTTAAAAAAAAATGATTTCATTTAACCACTCGTCACGTCATGTGTGCCCTACACATCCTTCAAAAAAAAAAAGGTCAAGCAGCGAACTTATAATAACGCGAAGGTGCAAAATCGTTGCAACATAAAAAAAAATTCGAAAAATTTCTGAAAGGCTCTGGGAAAGGAATTCACTACAGCGGGAAAAGGATTCACCTTAAGCAACCTTTGCTTTGGCAATTTGAAGTGTGCTAAATAGGAATTTAATATAATAGAAAAATATAAAAAATAAAAGAATGTTAAATTAAAAAAATAAATAAATTTAAAAAAAAAAAAAAATAATATTTTTAAAAATCATTAGATATATTAAAATGTATTAGAAAAATTCGATGTGGAGTAATAAGCTGCAAATATATATATTTATTTTAATAAAAAATCTTAGAGTTTAAAAAAAAATTAAGGGGTTACTTACATAGGTCTTGAAACTTCAAAAAATTTATGTTTCTTAAAAAAAAATGTATAAAAATACAAAGTGACAGGAATATTTTCCCTAAGTTTCAAGTCGAAAAAAAAAAAACTGTAGGAATGAGAGAGTTTTATAACACGCCGTCTTTATCATGGCTTGACAAAAAAAAAAGCTTTAAAGGAGTTTTTCTTAAAACCACTTCATCGAAATCGGTAGTCGAAATTTCTCAACGACTATTGAAGCGATCGAGTTCGAATTTTCCACACTTCTTTTAAACATGTTTTTGTAGTCCCTGAACGAAAGTTTTATCTTATCTTTGATTTCGACTCATTTTACGAACCAATATCTGGCATAATTTTAAGCTAAAATGACGTTTTTTTGTAAAAATCGCTAAAAGAAATTCAATTTTTAATTTTTTTTTAAATTTTTCTTCGTTCAGGGACAAAGAAAACTCAACTACTTTAAGAAAAAATTTGGAGCTTTGATTTCAGATAAAAACTGAAAAAGTCATCATGACTGCCAAAAAAAAACAAATCAAGTTGAGAAACCCAATTACTTATTCCAATCTCGAATCTCATATCTTTATTTTTTGTATGTATATATTTAATAACCAAAAATGCACATACAACTGTGTTTAGTGGAAACATACAAAGAGCTGAGCATAAAATCTTGTCCACTAAAAAGTTTTCCATTTTTTGGCAAAAAAAAAATAATGCATGCTCTTAGCAAACGAAACTTGCACAGCGAGACGATACTTAACTAAAAAAAAAGAATAATCTTAGTTTCAAAGTTTCTGTTGGCGGCAGCGCAAAATGTCGAATAAAAAAAAACTCAAGTAGCTCAGTTTGAAAATTTATTGCTTTACAATTAATTGTTTATGCAAAAAAAAATTAGATATCTTTTTACGTAGTTGCCATGCACATTGTTGTGCACTCTATTCAAAAAAAAAAGCAATGAGTGCTCATTAGAGTAATTAGTCAGCCTTAGCTTGGCATTTGTAAAAAAAAAAATGATTAGTTAATTGAAGGTGGATAAATTTCATTGAGTTATATTTCTAATTTAAAAAAAAAGGAGATTAAAAGCATATAGTATTTAATAATATTTTTTTTTGCTTGCTTTAGAAAAAAAAACTTCCTAAGAACAACTTTGTGTACATATTAGAAAGCGTAAGGTGAATTCTTTATAATTTATACCACTGTATAGACACTGCTTACGCGATTATAGCCGAATCAACAATATCATTCGTCTGTTGTTTAACGCCAGTTGGAAATGCCAAGCGAAACCAGAGCTTCCTGGCGTGGAAAAAAAAATGATGTTTTCCCATAAATAGAGAGACCTATGAGTAGATTTTATTTGTTTATAAAAAAAAAATTAAAGGATTGGTTAAATCTAATCACAAGAAACAGGAGACCTATACGATAAAAAAAAAAACAAGCTTGGTACAGGTCACCTAATAAGAAATGCCTCTGGAACTAGCGTGGAAAAAAAAACCTCAACAAAGGCTCTAAAAATCATTTTCTACATCAGGTCAATCAATATAAAAAAAAAAAATGCAACTTTAAAAGCATAGTAAAAAGTTTTGACAAGCTCTCAGATTTTGCAAAAAAAAACTAAACTTCAAGCTAAAAGACTTCTGGTATACGATAGGAATAAAAGGTGAATAGAAGGTCTCGTAACTCGAAAACTACTCGAAAACGGAGAGGGCAGTGAAAATGTAAACTAAAAAAAAATCCGATTCTTTCACTAACCTACGAAGTAAATAAAGAGAAGAGAAGACCAAAAAAAAAAAAGAGAAATCGAACTTTGCCAAAGGAAAAAAGCTTCCAGTCAGATGAAAGTTCAAAAAAAAACCCGAGCTGGAAATATAAAGCGGAAAGCAAAGCTAGTGATAGTATTGAAAAAAAAAAAAAACAAATGTATATACTTGTGACTGCAGTGTGAGGTCATTAAGTTTTCTATTCAAAAAAAAACAGAGGAGGTCATGTCAACTGTCATGAAATAAAAGTTTCGAGGCGAAGAATTAAATGTATGCCAACCCAATTTTTGGGAAGAACATCAAGACGCACACCACGAATTTTCGTAAAAAAAAACCTGTTTTCCAAGCACAAATAATGGTCATTACTGAAGGTGACAAAATTGCAAAAAAAAAATTAAAGAAATTTCTAAAGATTCCAGTAGACATTGAAATGCCAATTAAAGCAAAAAAAAAAGTCAACACAATATCCAAATGAGTGAGAATATGTAAGGAGATGATTAACAGACTTTATCAGCAAAACGCATGAAAACCGTTAAATAGTGGACGAGTTGTATCACGTTAAACACGAGTTGCAATACTGAACTACTATAAAGTAATGGGGATTTGTAGAGAGACCAAACCATTAAAAAAAAAAACTGAAAAGAGCTTGGTATTCTGGTAAGTGCACTTCCAGACCATTTATCCCAAAAAAAAAGCGTTAAAATTTAGTTCAGGCTCAATATGCAAAACATGCTCACAAGAGTATAAAAAAAAAGCTAGACAATTGAGATGTCAAATTATCCGTATTTTCCCAAGCTCCAGACTTATAAAAGTGAGTATGAATGGATGATATGCAGCTTAGAACAATGAGCCTACTCAATGACTAAAAAAAAAATGCTAGAAGTCAGGTCCACAATTAGTTATTTCAATCAACCAATTTGGTTGAAAAAAAAAAAAGGACTAATTGTCCAATGACAACGAAACCTCGCATTTATACTAATTATAAAAAAAAAAACACTTTGCGATCCTAAGGAGACTAGTCAGCCCTCCACGACTCCTCATTCCGAAAAAAAAAAAACGCTTCCTCATTAATAGCTGATTGCTTAGATTAATATGCGGAGCTGAGAAGACTCGAACTGTGGAACGAACTAAGCGAGCTCAAATGATTTTGAAAAATGAACGTAGCGAACGAGTAAGGTTCAGAGGGCACTAGTACGCTTATGAAAATTCTAACAAGGGCAGGTGTAAAAAAAAATTGGAGAAGCTATTACAGGAACTCTGGAATAATATAAATGAAGCTTTATAAAAAAAAAAAGTTAATTCCGTGCGTTATAGCTCCACCTGTATGTTGCCACCGATCAAAGAGAAAAAAAAACATCCCACGCAGTTGGAATATGAGGGCCAGACAGGTATGGTATTCAATAAGCAAACTACCAGAAATGGCTGAAGACCATGACAAGGTGAGTTTGCAAAATGACTGTGGTCGAAAAAAAAAGGAGTATTCATCAGACTTTGCCGCCGTATTCATCAGACTTTGCAGTTTTAGAAAAAAAAAGGCTCGGGTGATTTGAATGGATCGAAAAATGGTTGAATGCTTTGATCGAGGAAAAAAAAAATTCATTTTTTAGAGATGGTATTCAAAACTTACCAAGGAGTGCGAAAAAATGAGTCCCTTTCGATGGACGATACTTTGAATAGTGTAGTTTTTACTTTTTTTTCAAATTTGAAAAAAAAATTTGGGCGGAAATATTTGTCAGTTGAGTTATACTGAATTCAGCTGAAAGGAAATATTTAGTCACCGTTGACTGATTAGGTGATTTTATTTTACATACTTGGAAATAAAAGTAAAAAAAAATAAAAATTATCCGTATTTACGCCTATTATAATTATATGTATGCACATATATAAAAAAAAATAAATATGAGAATTGTTTGACTCACCTCATTGCTATGCCGGCAGCGACGCTCGCAGCCACAATAATCAAAAGCAATCCAATGCAAATCGCTCCAACTGTCCAACAGATGGCGCCGCATTGCCAAAGCTGTGCCGTACTCACCAACAACCATTCGTCGTAGCCCGGTTGTATAAAAAAAAAAATGTAAGTATTGGAATTGATTTCATGTTGCTCTAATATCAACAATGGACGAAAAAAAAATGAATCAGCTGAATCGGTTGGCTTAACATCCGCTCCTGAATTGGGGATGGCAAAAAAAAAGTGGCTATTGATGTCAAGTGTGGTAATTTTGCTTTTGCTGTCCCTATCATTAAAAAAAAAGTGGTGGTGGTGGTGGTGGTAGTTATTGTTGTTGGCTTTATTTTCATGCACAAAAAAAAATACAATAAAATCATACTTGGGCATTTGGCTGCTGATGTAGCCGGCATTGGTAAAAAAAAAATCATCGCCGACAGGAATGCTGCTGCCGTCGCGTCCTTTGCCATTTTTATTTTGCTCTGCGGCTTGTTCGTACGCTTGCTTTGGTGTTTTTGCCTCGAGTTGTTGCCGAACATTGGTAATTATAAAATCATAAAAGTGAAAAAAGTCAATAAAATTCCGCAAACTCGCTATAAAAAAAAATTCGGCGCTCGTATGTCCGGTGACCGGATGTATGTGGCATAGTTGCTTGAGAAAAAAAAACAGCTGTTGCAATAGCTTGCCATTACGTTTATTATTGTCATTTTGATTTTTAAAAAAAAAACTCACACAAGCTTTCGTCGCATTTTCAATTTTCGGACAAATCTCGACAAAAAAAAAAAAGCTCAGTTGTGGGCATTCATCGAAGGCCGCCAAAGTATCGCGTGTTGGTTGAAAAAAAAATGTGCTCGTCGTGGCGGCTTTATCACTGCTTCCGGCCTCGAATGCCTCAACAAAAAAAAATTTCTCGTGCTCTTGTAAGGCACGCGTCACCGAGCTATCCAAGTGTATGGGAAAAAAAAATATGCCCGCTTCACCGCCTATCTTGCCGTCGCTTGTCATCGCTTTCCAACGAAAAAAAAAGCGGAAATTCTGCACCAGCCCAATGCCATTATCTTCGAAAGCCACCTTCAAAAAAAAAAAATACTTATCGCTCAGTACTGTGAGTAGCAGTAAATTGGACATTAATTCGGAAAAAAAAAAGATACGCGCCAAATTCTTGTAAAAATTATTCTCGGCGTTAAAGGAGGTGGCAAAAAAAAAGATGAGCAGCACTTTCGTGTGCTGCAGGCCGGCCAGCTGTGTCAGTAGATGAAAAAAAAAGGCATCATTCATATCCGCTGTGACGATGATAGCTGTGGCAGTTAGGTGAAGAAAAAAAAAATAGATTGTTGCATGAAATTGTGAGGAAGAAAAGAAAGGAAAGGGAATGAAAAAAAAAAATAGTAATGAAGTTAGAATTTTTCTGAAGCAGTTGTGATTAAATCTACTATAAAAAAAAAACGTGTCACAGTATTTGAAACCAAACTCCTCCCAAGCGGTTGTGCCGATTTTAAAAAAAAAGTTGGAGAATCAGCCAACATCTGTTTCCCCAGCGGCAAGCGGACCAGGTACAAAAAAAAACAAAAAAACGCTATAATGGTTCGATTTACTTGAAATTCGGTACATAACTAGAAAAAAAAAGACTGACTTATCCAAAAAATGTTCTTTATGGTTCGAGTTAATATATGTCGAAAAAAAAAACGACGGCGATTTTTCCAACAAAATTTTCTTCAACGACGAGGAATATTCATCACTCGGGGATACATAAATAAGTAAAAGTGTCGCATTTTGGGCTCCGAGAATCCTTAAATAAAAAAAAAATCTCTTCCCGCCCTTTGGTCTGGAGATGTAATTGGATTTCAATTTGTTGAAAATGACAGCGAAAATAATCAGAAGGTTTGAACTCAGAATGTCAAAAGAAAATTTAACTTTAATCCAAGAAGTGAACAAACAACCGATTTGCAGAGAACATCTGGTTTGTGATTCAAAGCAAAAAAAAAATAATGGATTCGTAGTTTATTGTTCAGACTGACGTGCAGAAAATGGTTCTTAAAAAGTTATTTCTGATTCGATTTGTTTGAAATTATTTTCTTTTCAAGTAGCGGACCTGACACCAATCATTTCGGAAAATCATATTTATGTTGTTGTTATAAACGAATTAGCTTTCGGGGAAAAAAAAAAAGGGTCAGTCCTTGGACGAATAAAAATCCGGTTCGTTTTAGTCACCTCTTACGACAGGCCTTCTTGAGCCTCTAGTCCGCAGGAGAAAAATCGTATTTATGGCTTAGTTTGCGGGAACAATCCATTGCTGAAACGACTTAGCTAATTTTATTTTGGCTTTTCTAATCGGCTGCTTCCATATCCCTTTTCATTGATTTCGAGTCCATTCACATAACTCACATTAGGATTTGAAAAAAAAAAGTTTTCTTCTAATTCTGGGGTTAAACCAAGGAAATTAAATTGGAAAGGGGTAAAAAAAAACGTGTCTGCTAGTTGCCATATAAGTGTTCAGGTACCTAAATTATATCTCCTAAAAAAAAATTTTTGATGCAATAATCTCTGATCAATTCGAACGATTTTTGTTTTACTTATAAAAAAAAATGTTGATGAACAAAATACGAAAAAAATATTTCAGCAGACCACGTAAGTAGAAAAAAAAAAACTCTTTTCTATTAATTGTAATTAAAATATTAGAAAATATTAGCAAATTTTAAAAAAAAAGCATTTAATGGATTTTCTGAAGCAATGCCAATCTTTGGACGAATTCCTAATAACTGTTAACATAAATAAAAAAATTAGAGCTAACTTAATCGAATGAATAATCAAGCTGAAAAAAAAAAAATGAAAGATATCCTGACTGCCTGGAACACTTTGTTTGCATACTCAAATTGTAAAAAAAAAATCCATTTTCAGTATATGCCCAACTCATATAAATTTGATTTGATACAAACTAAAAAAAAAATCACTTGGAGTTTCTGACCAGCCACTGTCGATGTGCGTGGTCTGAAATTAAAAAAAAAAAACACAATTCCCCTCCTGTTGGCCAGTCGATTCAAAGCTGACAGTACAAGTAAAAAAAAAATTTTTGGCTGTAAAGGAGTAGCTCATTGTGTGTAATTCCTTGCATATCCAAAAAAAAAACGGTCCTCCACAAATCCTGACATGGAGTTAGGAGATCAACACTTCTTCTATTATTTCTTTTAGCATAAAATATCATCTTTCTAATGCCATCTTGCGTATTCCAATTGCACTAAAAAAAAATGAGATACCGATGACTAAACCGTCAATAATTTTGGCTAGACCTAATATTTAAAAAAAAAACCAATGCACATAACTACGAGTATGTACAAACAATGTACCGTTAATTCACAAAAAAAAAAAACTTACCATGACCAATTTTATCCAGCGCATGCATGTCACGTATGTCCTCGCAAAAAAAAATTTTATACGGTATATGCAAATTTGCTGCTATTGCGAGTGGCATGCCCCAATAAAAAAAAACAACAATAAACAAAATTGTATTATATATTGTATATACTCGTATATATTATAAAAAAAAAAAATCAAAGATATTCTAAAATGCAAATGCAGAGACAAGTGTGAAGACAGAAATTTTCATGGAAAATGAAAATTAAACCATTCAAATGGTTATATTTGCTGTATAGTCGCGATAAAAAAAAAAAATTTAATTTAAATTTAAATCTTTTATAGTTAGTTGTAGTAGTGAAGGCTGACTGTCGAAAATTCAAATTATTTATAGGAGAGGATGGTGGGAGAATGGGTCCATGACACAAAAAAAAAATTAAAACTTAAATTGATATTAATGATTTGGTGTTGTGTGTGTGTGTGTGCAAAAAAAAATAGTCTTGTTAAAATTATATGCATCTAAATATCAACTATACACTTCTATGCAAAAAAAAATCACTTACAGTGAGTTGGAAAAGAGTTCTAGGTTAGGTTGGATTGGCTGAAAAAAAAAAACTTAATTAGAGGTAGACTCACCTTTGAGGTGATCTCCGCTTAAATCTTTTAAAAAAAAAATTGAGAAAAATAATTTAAAACGTATTTTTCTCTCCATGGATAAAATAATTTAATTTGAAATTAAGAAACCAAAGTTGTTTCTGTGAAAATGAAAATTTTTAAATCCTTCAAAAAAAAAAAGTTCTATACTTTTCAAGAGATAGTAAATTGATTGATTGTTCAACTAGAACAAAAAAAAAAGTATTGGCCACTATATCTGATTTAGAGTTATAGAAGATACATTTATAGATAAAAAAAAAAATTCTGAAGAGCTTGAATAGCTGGTCGACTAGGGAAATGTTCGAAAATTCTAAAAAAAAATGCGGTGACCCCCATCAGAAGCAGACTCATTTAGGACACAGAAAACATTCGAAAAAAAAAACGCTCCAATAGACAGTGATGGAAAAGATATTTTAATCGACAAGTTCGAATAGTGATTGCCCGATTACGGAACGTGGATCCACGTGAATTGAAAGGAAAATCTCCAAACCGTTCGGTACCAAACGCAGTTTCAGGCAGGGTGGCTTTATAGCGTGTGACTTCTCCCATGTTAAAAAAAAAAGAAAATAATAAAAGCTTTGGAGCTAAACAGACTTACGATCAACTATAAGGAAAAAAAAAAACAATCGTGCCGTTAGTTCTCAGTAACGAAAACAAGACGGAATATCTGCTAAAAAAAAACAAGCGCTGGGGGTAGACAAGTAAAGTGCTATTTAGATGAACAAAAACCAAAAAAAAAAAATTGTCCCGGCCTAATATTTAGTGCAGAAGCTTGAACGATGACAAAATGCAAAAAAAAAACGCTGGGAGCTTTAGAGAACAATTTTTTGAGAAGAATTTATGGGCTTAGGTAAAAAAAAAACCTCGACCTACAGTTTATACTAAGCCGCCTCCGAACGGCTGATGGGTTTTTTATGAGGAGGTTTATTTCCTGTCAGAAATACATTTGGATGGGTTGACAATCCCTGCCGAAAAAAAAAAAATATAGTTCAACAAATAAAGCGGCGGCATCTTTGATGGTCAGTTCATGTCAAAAAAAAAGAGAAAACACTCCAGCTTTGAAGGTCTTCGATGCAATATCCATTGGTGGCAAAAAAAAAATAGAATGCCTTGGTTTCACTTGGAATTTCCAATTGGCGTCAAATGGCGTAGAGAAAAAACTATGACGCCCAAAAATATTAACTTTTTGTCTCGCTAGAAAAAATTAAAAAAAAAAAAAAAGCGCTTCGTATGCTCTGCACTCAGCGGATGGCACTTTACTTACCTAATGGAAAAAAAAAATGCCCCTTTAGTGCACCCATAGGTGTACTCTTTTCTATATTGGAAGAGTTCAAAAAAAAAAAGTGTTTCTCTGTGGCTCACTGTTTTAAGCGATATTTAAAGAGGCTGAATGATCTGCGGCAGTCGATGGTTATAGCTTCAACAACGGTGCCAGCGCGAGCTAACTAGTCCAAAAAAAAATCCGTTTTTTCATCGTCTTCTATATCCGTGTGTTCTGGAACATGAGTGATAAAAAAAAAATGTTTTTCCGCGTGTTTTAGTTTGCTAATTGCTTCTTCGCATGTCCCAATGCATTTTGATTTTTTGACTTATTAGCAATATGGTTTAGTTTGTATTTGAAAGAAGGTAGTTAAAAAAAAAGTCTAAAGCTGTAGCATCTTTCACATTTTTCATTTTCTGCGTAGTAACAAAAAAAAAAAATTTCCATGGGCGCTTGTGAAATTTTTTTTTGTCAAATAGTAATAAGCACTAAAAAAAAAACCTCACATCATCAACTGAAAAGCATTAAAATCTCATTTCTTTCCTATGTTAAAAAAAAAAACCTGACTCGCATTAAGTTTGCCATTTAGAAAATACTTGAACTTGAACTTAACACAAGCCAATGTTAAGCCTCCGCGCAGTCAAGGTTAAGCTACGCTTTCGTAAGAATTTTAACTCTGTTAATTATTACGAAATAGCAGCACTTGAAATGTGTTTACGACGATGTGGAATAGCGGCAAATAGGTTGCTTGTAACCAATGCCAAAGTGCATCGTTTTTCTCATATAAATATAAAAAAAAAAGCATGTATGTATGTGGGAAGCGCAAACTTGCATAAGGTTTGTAGGCATAGCGTAATATTCTTTATTAAATTAGTTAGTTATGTGTCTTAGCGAGTATCTTTCTAAGCTTTAAAAAAAAACAAAACTCATAATTACTTTCATTTACAGCACACACTGGTATGTAGTGGTATAAAAAAAAATACACAGCGGTACATATACATATTCGTACTGAAAATAAAGCAAGCTACGTTAAAAAAAAATTAGTAATCTAAAACAGAGGACAAATTACGGCATCTGCGTTAGAAAAATAAAAAAAAAAATGGGTTTCTTTTGAGAAAAGTAGTATATAGAGTGCATTTGGTTTCTTTTTCAAAAAAAAAAAAGGCAATATTGGGAAAGTTGTCGCTGATAAATAAATAAATTGGTGTCAAAGGAATAAAATGTAGCTAAATTTGTTAACAGATTGCATGAATTAAATTTAAAATTAAATGAAAACATAAATTTAAAATTTGTGAATTTAAAAAATTATATTTTTTGTAAATTTTATGAAAATGGTTAATATTTTCGTTAAAAAGAAATGTTTAGTAAAATGTCTATATTTTGAAATGCAATGCTTCAGAAATCGAGTTAACTACTGGACATGCAACTAGGTCTAAGCTTTCCGTTGCATAAAAAAAAAAGCAATGAATCACTTGTCAGTAGCTTTTTGACAAGGCATATTCCTGGCTGGGAAAAAAAAACACTTGCGCAGCTAAATGTGCGCTTAGTATATACATAAACTTGTTTTTGAAAAAAAAAAAACCTCAACATCCATACACACGCACCTACTTGCATGAACTTTTCAACATTTAAAAAAAAAATATGCACGAGCATACATATGCTCTTTAGGTGGTTCGTTACTCATACGCCCTAAAAAAAAACACATTTATGTTGCGAGCGCTTACATCTCACAGAATGTGTGTATATAAGAAAAAAAAAAAATATCTAACTTAAGTGCTAATTTAATAATTTTCTAAATTGTTAATTGTTAATATGTATAACCGAATTTAACCTTCATTTTCAGTTTCTTCATTAGCAAGTAGAGTGTACGTAAAAAAAAAATATACGTATAGTGAGTGCAGAAGTGATTTAAGGCTGAAACAATTTTCGGTAAAAAAAAAATATGAAAATTGTCATAAACTAAAAGATAAATGGCTTTATTGTCAATATGAAAAAAAAAAAGCCCACCCAACCCTGTAAGCCCACCCAACCCCAACATGTCCAAAAATATTTAAATTCTGATTTCAGCTAAAATTATGAACAGAATTAGAAGAAACCTGGTATGTGAATGTAAAATTATATACTTATTTAAGGTGTGCAATTTCGTTTCGTTTGGTGCAAAAAAGCAGTTTTCTTCCATATATACTGTTTCTTAAAAAATAAATCTAAGCCAAATTTGTAAAGTAAAGGTTTCTGAGTTTATTTTCTCGGTAGCAGATAAAAAGTTAATTTTTTTCTAACGAATGAACTTTAAAATGTATCCCAATTTGTAGAAATGCACAGCAGGAATGAAGGGGAATAAGCATCTACATCTACAAAAAAGTTCTCTTCTTTTTATGATATCAATTTGCTAAAATCTCAATTTATAATTATGACCGTACATCAGGAGATATTCAAACTAAGAGCTCCAAGCATGTAATCACACTGTCCCAGATTTGGAATCTTTATCTAAAGCACATCTTAGCAACTCACGACTGTCTATAGCAGCGCATAAAAAAAAATGAGCTATTTATATATTTCCAACAGAGTGGAGATCTTCCACACCCTCTGCCAAAAAAAAAGGGTACTGCATCGAAAACTTTCAATGCTGGAGAATTCTTATCCATCCGGACAAAAAAAAATAGCCTGCGTAGATGCTATTTCATGATTCGCTGAACTACGTCAATGTCGGCAAAAAAAAATCGTACAGCTCATCGTTCCATTGGCTACGGTATTTGCCATTCAAAACTCGGAAAAAAAAATAAATCTGAAACTAAAATGCTACTCATCACAATTCGGGGATTAAATATAAAAAAAAAAAATTGTTTAAGCGAGACGCGTAAATCCTTGTCATTTGATTTTTTGCATTTTTGTATATATGCATGTATATAAAGGTGAGCAGCGTTATATTTATATATTTTATATATAATATCAAAAAAAAATTTTGTGTAATGGGATTCATCTTCTCATAGATGCAGACTTACAATCAATCAAAAAAAAAACGCCTTCCCACCCCTGCTCGACGAGCAGTTATGATTGATGGCCGCGCACCCAAAAAAAAATTACTGGCATGGGAATAAGACCAATGAATTACGCCCAAATTAATGATACGAGCCTAGGGCTCACCTGATTATATTCTAAATTCTCCCCCACCCGCTCAGATATTATTAAATAAAAAAAAAATTTATTAT